CAGACGGCCTATTCGAGTTTAAGGTCATGCCCTTTGGTCTTTGCTCGGCGCCTGCGACGTTCCAAAGGGTTATGGACACAGTACTCGCAGGCTTGAAGTGGCAGACTTGCCTCGTCTACTTGGACGATGTAGTCGTATTTTCTTCCAACTTCGACGAGCACCTCCGGCGCCTTGAAGCTGTTCTTCGGGTAATCAAAGCCTCGGGACTTACCCTGAAGCCAGAAAAGTGCCGCTTCGCCTACGAGGAACTATTGTTCCTTGGCCACGTTATCAGCAAGTCGGGAGTGCTCCCTGATCCACAGAAAACAGCTGCGATCGCCGACTTTCCTGCACCCACCGACAAGAAAGCAGTACGCCGATTTCTTGGCCTCTGCGCTTATTACAGGCGCATCGTGAAGAACTTTTCGCGGATCGCCGAGCCACTGACGTACCTCACGAAGGGCGACGTCGACTTCAAATGGGAAACGCCGCAAGTCGAGGCATTTCAAGAATTAAAGCGACGCCTGCAAACGCCGCCAATACTGGCGCACTTCGACGAAGAAGCTGACACCGAATTCACACGGACGCAAGCAGCACAGGGCTCGGCGCCGTGATCGTGCAGAGGACCGACGGACTTGAAAGGGTCATCAGTTACGCTAGCCGGTCACTTTCGAAGGCAGAAGCCAATTATTCCACGACAGAAAAGGAATGCCTTGCCATCATCTGGGCTACATCAAAGTTCCGCCCCTACCTGTACGGCAGGCCTTTCAAAGTCGTGAGTGACCACCACGCCTTGTGTTGGCTAGCTAACTTGAAGGATCCATCAGGGCGCCTCGCACGGTGGAGTCTCAGACTACAAGAATTTGACATCACCGTCGTCTACAAGAGCGGACGAAAGCACTCCGACGCCGACTGCTTGTCTCGCGCCCCTGTCGATCCGCCGCCCCAGGATGACCAGGACGACGACTCTTTCCTGGGACCCATAAGTACCGACGACTACGCGGAACGCCAACGAGCTGACCCGGAGCTCAAGATCCTCATGGACTACCTGCAAGGCAAGACCGCCGACGTGCCGAAAGTATTCCGCCGAGGACTGGCTTCGTTTTTCCTGCGAAACAACGTCCTCCTGAAGAAAAACTTCTCGCCGCTCCGCGCCGACCACCTCCTCGTGGTACCTTCAGCGTTACGTCCAGAGGTTCTGGAAGCATTACACGACGACCCGACAGCCGGACATCTTGGTGTTTCCCGCACACTGTCACGAATACAAGAGAAGTACTATTGGCCTCGCCTCGCTGCCGACGTCGCCCACTACGTAAAAACATGCAGAGACTGTCAGCGACGCAAGACGCCGACAACTAGGCCAGCCGGACTTCTGCAACCCGTCGAACCACCTCAACGGCCATTCCAACAAATCGGCATGGACTTACTGGGGCCGTTCCCGACGTCAACTTCTGGCAACAAATGGATTGTCGTAGCGACTGACTACCTCACCCGCTATGCCGAAACAAGGGCCTTGCCCAAGGGCACTGCCGCCGAAGTCGCCATGTTCTTCATTGAGAACATCGTCCTCCGCCACGGAGCCCCCGAGGTCCTCATCACCGACAGAGGTACGGCCTTTACGGCTGACCTAACGCAAGCGATCTTGAGGTACAGTCAGACAAGCCACCGCCGAACCACCGCGTACCACCCACAGACGAATGGCATCACCGAGCGTCTAATTAAGACCATCGCCGACATGCTGGCCATGTACGTGGACGTCGAGCACAAGACGTGGGACGCCATACTCCCGTATGTAACCTTCGCGTACAACACGGCCGTGCAGGAAACGACGCAGTTTGCTCCATACAAGCTCGTCTACGGACGGAGCCCAACAACGACGCTTGACGCCATGCTACCGGTCGGCACCGACGAAGAAGACCTCGACGTCGCCAGCTACCTGGATCGCGCTGAAGAAGCTCGACAGCTAGCCCGCCTGCGTATCAAGAGCCAACAGACGATCGACAGGCGCCACTACAACCTTCGACGACACCACACCGAATACCAACCAGGTGACCTTGTCTGGGTCTGGACGCCGATACGACGACGGGGATTGTCTGAGAAGCTCCTGCGACGCTACTTTGGACCCTACAAGGTAGTCCGACGTCGTGGTGAACTGGACTATGAGGTCGTGCCCGATGGCTTAACGTCATCCCAACGACGCCGTGCACGACCCGAAGTCGTACACGTGGTGCGACTTAAACCTTATTACGCGCGCTGATTAGCTGTGACGCATTGTTAATGTAATTTATTGCATGTACTCTCTCTTATGTTCTGTCTTTAGCATCGGGACGATGCTTTTTCAGAGGGGGGTAGTGACACGTGCGGTTCTTTTGGTTTACGAAGGAAGACGCTATCACTTTCTGTTAAGCGCAACGCAGGCCGCGTTTATCTTGTATGCCACTCTGGAACGCGTTACGACGCGTGTATAAAAAACTGACACGTGCGGTTCTTTTCGTTTGCGAAGGAAGACGCTATCACTTTCTGTTAAGCGCAACGCAGGCCGCGTTTATCTTGTATGCCACTTTGGAACGCGTTACGACGCGTGTATAAAAAGCCGGCGCAGTGCGCCACTGGGGGTCTTTTTTTTTCCGTCGGCCGACGACTGTTCACGCCGCTGTTGCTGTGAGTTGTGTTTGGCCCTGTTTTGCTGGGCACAAGTTCGCCCAATAAACAGTTCGCCTGACACCGCCCTGACTCCTGCGTGCTTCCTCTCAAGTGCTGCGTGTATCACAACCTCGTGACAATATAGAAAAAGACTGCACTAATCATGTGGCCAAGAGACTTGGCACCGCGCTACGGAAGCTGCATGTGCCATTACCACGAGGGCAGAAAATGAAAGAGCCAGCCATTCAGAAGCTTTAAACATACTATCAGATTGCCATAACAAGCAACAGGGGGAGTGTACGGGATATGTACACTGCAGTATGGGCTTCGTACTTCCACTCATGCTCTACTGACAATGCTGGCAGCCACAAGTTTTGCCCTGCAGGAACAGAGTCGTGGTGCAAACATCAACGCGCTGAAGCACTTGGTGAACCTGCACCACGCCACACACCTCTCCTGACAAAAGCACAGGGATTGGCTGTTTCGCCCATTTATAAGTGGCTAATGGATGAGAAGCTCCTTGCTCGATGCATCAAAGGGAAAACCCAGAACGCATCGGAATCCCTGAACAGCAAAATTTGGCTACTTTGCATCAAGACTAAGTTTGTCTCCCAAACGGTTGTCGAGACTGCCGCAGCTATGGCAATCCTGTGGTTCAACAAGGGTCATGCTACTTTCGAGCACATCCTGGAAGAGCTCAACATACTGCCATCTAGAGATCTAGTTACTTTCAGTGCTTCCCGCGATGCGAGGCGCATCAAGAGAATGTCCGAGCGTCTGACAGCAGAAGCAAGGGCCCACCGTCGTCGTGGAGTGAAAAGGGCACGGCTAGAAGAAAGTGCTCGCAAGGACCGTGAGGGCACAACCTATGCTGCAGGACAGTTCTAGTAACTTGCAGTGCTTTTCAAAGCTCTGTTGAACATTATGGCCAAAGATTATGCATATCTAACAACTCTGTTAAAAAAAAAAATGTTTCAAACTTTCCAATGCGTTTTTCTCCTTTTGCAGTTTTGTGTGATCTGTGCTTCTTATACACGCTAGTTCGTATACTTAGAATTGTCATACCTCTATGAAATTTTGCACATAGCATGATGAAGGCCCATAGAGTGCAAGTATCTATTCAGATTGTCAGTGCTGCTTGATTTTATGTTTTTCAAAAATTACATAACATTGAAAGCTCTTCGCAACTAGAGCCATAGTAAATTTTTCTATTTTATTATTTTATTTCACCTTTTTACACACAAAATTTATATAGTTTTTTGCACTCTACAGTACCAAAGGATCATAGTCAGCTATATCTGCATGCTTTATCTCAAATTTTTATAGGTCAGAATGGTTGCATAACAATGGCCATAATTTTGCAGTATCTGACCTGTAGAAAAACAACCAAGCAATCTACATGAAAATAAATGACATATTTGAAAAGAGGAGAAAAAACTCTATTAGCATGCCAATTTGTGTTAAATTCAGACTCTTATTAAAGAAAATCGTTTTTCGAGTAGCATCTCCCCTTAATTATGGCGGCTACTTCAATCACATTTAGGAACGACATTACCATTTTATAATAGCGTCAGAAGTTGGGGCACTGACATTCTATGCCATACACAAAAAGTGTACCACTGAATCTATTTTCAATCAACGTTTCCCTACAGATGCTGGAACACTTGATGCTGTTGTCCACAAGTCGTTCGATAGCTTTACATAGGACATTTTCAAAGTTATGGTACTACTAATCTACTTGAGCACTTTGAATGTTTGAGTGAGTATTTCAGTATTCAAATACGTTTTGATGTGAATTAAAAATTTTTGAGATCTTCAGCTATTTGAAAGTAACAAATTGTGTTTTCACATATTCAAAATACGGAACTCCTCTGAAAAAGTGGTTTCACTGAAGTAAGAGGCTGTTATGCAGTGAAGCAGTCTATTCAGAAAAGACCCACACTGCCATGAAGCCTCACTTCAAGGTTAAATGCACATATTACCTGCAACCCAATTAATTTATTTTCATACTATTGAAACGTGTTACATACAGACTAAATATAGCAAATATTAAACGTGTTTTATGACTTACAGCTAGCACACAACTACTATTTAAATACTGGTACTAGCACTATTCATATTTGATTTGACTTCGCTTATAACAAAAGTGATATTTGCACAAGCCTTATACTAATTCTTAAGTATTGTGCAAGTTAGTTGGGCCATGAACAAAATTTCCATTTTTTTTTAATTTTATGTGATATGTTATTCCAACTCGTTCTTTTCAAATTGTATGACCAAATCACTGTTCACTTCGTACCTCAAACTTACCTATCGCCTATCTCTACAATATATTAATTTCAAAGCACAGCCTTTATTATAACAGTTCACTATCATACCTCCAACTGCAGGTCAAGGGGCAGCAGGATCTATCGGGCGCATCCCTTCGTTGTTCAGTGCCTCTACTGGTGCCCCATGGTGCACCAAAAGGCGCACCAGCCGCTCTACCTTTTGGCCAGCGGACCGGCAAGCCATGTGCAGCGCTGTGTCACCCGCAGTGTTGGCAATGGAAACCAGTCTGCTGGGGCTGTCCACATTGAGCAGCAGAAGCTGTAAAAGACACCAACATACCGACAGGTTTTCCCATCTTCCAGCAGAAAATTGTTGCAACCTCTCTCCATCATAATATTTATCATAAATACATATTTCTGCAATGAGAAAAGAAAGGGCCATTCTTTTGTTTAGTTGTTGGTATAGCCGCGTGGTCTGCCTCCTGGGGAGAGCAAGGCTTAGAGCACGTGGATTGTAGGCAAGCTCGAAGCAAGTGAGTACGGAAGCATCGTAGGTGGTCAGAGTTTTCTGTAAATAGCTTCTTCTATCTCCGACTCTGAGTATCGTGATACCCCACAATTTGTCTGAAGAATTTATATTGCGCAATTAAAACAATGCACATTTTTGGACACATTCTGCAGAAAAAAAACGACCCTTGAAGGATCAAAGTAACTACTGCAACAAGTGTAAAAAAATTACTTTGTTGACAAGGATGTCAGTCCTTAATAACCACGAAGTTTTACTAAATTATTAAGCCACCTCAGCTTCCTATTAAGGAGGCCTTGCAACATTTCTTCAGCATGGCAAGAAAACACTGCTGATCGATTGTCAAGGCTCCTAAGAACATGCGTGCCAAATATAGCGCAGCATGCAGCCTGGAATTTACAATTCTTGGAGTGAGCTGGAAATTGTTTCCTTCTCCATCTACAAATGATACCATGTACCCAAATTTCCGGTCAATGGCCGATTTGAACATCATGGGCAGCATAGTTACCGTGACTGCCGCAAGACGCTGCCATATGCCGAAGTACGTGTTCGGGATCACACTGAAACTCGACCGCGCATTCGAAGGAGAAAAAAAAAGGGGGGTGCTCAAGGTTATGCTGCGGACAAGACAATTTCTTTCCCCCTTGCCATCTCTCCCCGCTTTGCTTCCAGCGTGCTTGTTGGGATGAGGAAAGAGAGAAAGCCATTAGACCTTGCGATAAACGTCGACCTTCGCTTGTACTCGACCTCTTCTAAAAACTTTTGCGGCAGTCAATTCTGATTCAATTCAGAATTAACTGCCGCAAAATTTCAATTTGCGGCAGTCAACTTTGCGGCAGTCAATGAAGCCATTCAGTGATTATGTAAAGTGTTGCAAGGTCCCTTTAGAGGAACATTACAGGCAAGTAACAATTTATGTCAGAGTGAAAGCTCGCTTCAAGTAATTCTTCAAGTCCTGAAGAATTACTTGAATTACTGAAGGACTTGAAGAATTACAGGCTGATCAGCTTGCTCTCTGTAGTATACAAGCTATTTACAAAGGTAATTGCTAACAGAGTAAAGAAAACATTGGAATTCAATCAACCAAAGGAACAAGCAGGATTTCGAACAGGCTACTCAACAATTGACCACATTCATACTATCAATCAGGTAATAGAGAAATGCTCAGAGTATAACCAACCACTATACATAGCCTTCATAGATTACGAGAAGGCGTTTGATTCAGTAGAAATATCAGCCGTCATGCACACACTGCGGAATCGGGGCGTAGATGAAGTATATATAAACATTCTGGAAGAAATCTACAGGGGATCAACTGCTACCATAGTGCTTCATAAAGAAAGCAACAGAATACCAATCAAGAAGGGTGTAAGGCAGGGAGACACAATCTCCCCAATGCTATTTACCGCGTGCTTACAGGAGGTTTTCAGAAGCCTAGAATGGGAACAGTTAGGGATAAGAATTAACGGAGAATACCTTAGTAACCTGCGCTTCGCCGATGACATTGCATTGCTGAGTAACTCAGGGGAGGAATTGCAACTCATGATTACGGAGTTAGACAAGGAGAGCAGAAAGGTGGGTCTAAAAATTAATCTGCAGAAAACGAAAGTAATGTACAACAACCTCGGAAAGGAGCAGCGCTTCGAGATAGGTAATAGTGCACTTGAAGTTGTAAAAGACTATGTCTACTTAGGGCAGGTAATAACCGCAGAGCCTAACCACGAGATTGAAGTAACTAGAAGAATAAGAATGGGGTGGAGCACATTCGGCAAGCACTCTCAAATTATGACAGGTAGATTGCCACTATCCCTCAAGAGGAAGGTATATAACAGCTGTATCTTGCCGGTACTTAGCTACGGAGCAGACACCTGGAGACTTACAAAGAGGGTTCAGCTTAAATTGAGGACGACGCAGCGAGCAATGGAAAGAAAAATGGTAGGTGTAACCTTAAGAGACAAGAAGAGAGCAGAGTGGATTAGGGGACAAACGGAGGTTAAGGATATTATAGTTGAAATAAAGAAGAGGAAATGGACATGGGCCGGGCATGTAGTGCGTAGACAGGATAACCGCTGGTCATTAAGGGTAACTAACTGGATTCCCAGAGAAGGGAAGCGGGTTAGGGGGAGACAGAAGGTTAGGTGGGCAGATGAGATTAAGAAGTTTGCGGGTATAAATTGGCAGCAGCAAGCACAGGACTGGGTTAACCGCCGGAACATGGGAGAGGCATTTGTCCTGCAGTGGACGTAGTCAGGCTGATGATGATGTTGATGATGAAAGCTCGCTTAGTGTACGACTTCTAAAATGGCAATATTATAAGTAGCATTGCCAAATTACCAAGAAATTAAAGTAATTAAGGCAGGAGAACATATGCGCCACAAGTAGGATATTCGCAAAATTATGCCGATGACGTCAGAGTTACCACCTACAATTAATAACTAGTAATCAAACTAGCTGCACTAAATAAAGAACCTTTCATCAATAGATGTAATAAAATGCTGCTTGTTCATTACTGTTTGATTCATAGAAAAATAACGAACCACCGGGCGTTACTAAGGGAAATGGCGCGAATGGTTCAAAAGTTAAATCTTCGTCTGGTTAAACTGGACAGGTCGAGCCATCTAGCAGGGCCCAGTTGAACCAAGCACGCCTGCCATCTCAGAGGCCATGGCCGGAAATTGTTCAATGGCCGTTGTTGCTGCTGTGGTTCCCGCTACTTTCGCTCTGCTGCTACTAGTGTCAGTAGCTGCCCAGTAAAGCTGTGCAACATTGTGCACGGCAACAGTGATGCGAGTGTTCCCACTTTGAGGCGGGTAATTTGAAGTCTGCTAACGCGATACAAACCACTAAAACGTGATTTTATTTCAAAATAAGCACTTCCTTGGCACAAAAGCAGTGCTAATAGGTTTCTGGAACTTTACTTCAGCAATCAACATGTCCTTAATATTTGCGTTTAGAGTCCCTTTAAGAAAAAGGTGCTTTTAGATTACAAGCAAGGTTTTCCAGCAAAACATGCCGTCATGTCTCTCACCTAGGAAATAAAGTACTGCAATTTCAATAAAGCTAGACAGCCCAAGTAAACTTACGTGGCTGCACCCCCACTGGCATTGAACACTGCAAACACGAGCCATGTGCATACCTCGACAAGGTCGACCTTGTAATGTTGGGCAGCGTAGTGCAAGGCAGTCTCTCCCACCCGATCCTGCAAGCTCAACTGGGCATTGGTAGTGGTGGCCAGCAGTTGACCGCTCTGTAGCTGTTAATCGTCTCGTACGTGGGCGGCTGGCCTTTGCTGTTTTCGATGCACAGTTGACCTCCATGGGACAAGACGGCCAGGTGAAGTGGTGTGCGCCCTAGCAACCCCATACAGGCAAAGACATCCATGCAGTGATTTTTACAATTTCTGTCATTATCACAGCAGCTAACATTCTTTTGACAAGAATTAAATGCCAGAATTGCCAAAAAATTGCCAAAAAAAACAGGATTGTGAATGCTTTTTGCAATAGATAATTCCAAGTGAAACCATGTTGAATCACATTTTTTTAACACAAAAGTCGATGGTCAGTCTAAACTGGTTTGAATATTTCTTTTTGGTGTCCTTTAAGAAAGTCCTTGTCATGATTCAATAGATGAGCGTGTGAGAACAGCTGCCAACCTTTGAGATCTTGGGCATTGACTGAGGCAGGGCATGGGGGTGCCAGCAACTGCTCAATGCAGGAATGGCCTCCTCGCTCAGCCGCCAGGTGCATGGCCGTGGCCCCATCCTCGTTTTGCGCGTCCCGCTGCACGCCTGCCTCACACAACACGCCCACTACGAGTTCCTGCCGTAGCATGCTCGCATAGTGCAGTGCTGTCTGCGAAAACAGATGCCATCCAGGGAACCAATGTTGAAAACATGATTTCATATTGATAACAGAGAATTGCTGTTACTTTCACTTTATGCAATATGAGGTACCACATGGCACATCCTTTTATCATCATAAACCTGTCTTATGTCCACTGCAGACTCACCACCGGTGGGTCCGCAGTTACATCTAGCAACGATTTCGAGCAAAAAGCACCCCCCTCCCCCCTTTTTTTAATCGTTCAATAATTTTTACCACCATGGCAGCTGCAAAAAAAATATTTTGGAGCACTTCTACGTAGTTTTCAGTGAAGATATTTTAAAGCAAATAGAAAATTGGCTACAGACCCTGAAGACGCGATTTCCAAAAGATCAATTTTTTTACGTCTCATTCAGAACAAATTCCTATATGACTCCCGATTCTCTCTGGTTATAACAAACCCTTTTAGTGTTTCCATAAAAGTCTGTGGGTAACAATACTTAGATTTTACATACTCCTTTTACAACAGACCAAAATCCTCTTCAATACGGAGGTCTGTTGTGATGAGGTTATACTGTATGTGCATCATCCCAACCTTATTCCTTGGTGGACTTCCTTTACGTGAGTAGGCCCCCCTGTTAATTTTTAGCCTAGATAGACGTACTCTTTAACCTATGTGTCCTTTCAAATGCGAGCTAATTGCCAAACAAATCCTAAAGGCACAGCTAAATTTGGTAAACTGGTCAAAAGTCCACAATTAAAACAGCACAGAACATGAAAACAAAAAGGAAACTATAATTGGGAGTACAATTCCAGACTCACTGCTACTATTATTTCCCGTACATCATGTACAGTGCTCACAGATTGGAAGGAGACAAAAATGTTAATATCAGAACAATTAAGTACAACTGCTCGAGATAAGCACATCATGCTGCTATGAATCTGGTCACCACAGGTAATGTTAGGTGTAAGTGTGCCACGTCAAAACTACATTGAAGTGACGCGGACTGAAATGATGTAATAAAGAGCACAGGAATCGCGAAGTCCTAAACCAAAAAGCACGAAGGGGAAGATGGAAGCTTGCAATCGAAAATTCTGAAGCAGGGGGTCTGTGCGTGGAGTTGTTTTTTCATAGCTGCAACTGTTATGTAGTATATATATATACTGTATAAAATGTAGGGGCCCTGAAAAGACAAAGCCCATTTATCGAAACATCGGTTCCAGCACAAACCCTATTTACGAATTTCTCATTAGTCCTAAACTGTCACTTTTCCTGATATGAGCTGTGCACTTGTGTACAAAGCAATATAATGAAAAAAAAAAAAGTCAGTTTTTCTGTAAGAGTGAAGCCACAAATTTAAATGTTAGACGAAGTAAGGCTAGCAGCTAAATCCTTTAGCACCTGACCTGATGGAGCACAACAAAACACTCGTGTAAGGCAATTTGACACACACCTCTACACCTGCTTAGTTAAGTGCACAGCCTGCTAGACATGCGTCTCTCTCATGGAGCCATAATGTGCATGTCGCAGGACGGATGATGGCATTTCCTCGCTACTTGAAACTTGATTGTCCACTGCCTTCACACACTTTAACTTGCACACAGCACATACGAGTCAATGATGCCATAGAAATGAACTTAACATAAAACTAACAGCGACAGTAAAAAGGTGCCTCGTGTTTCCATATACTAGCTGCCATTGTAATAAAATGGAGCTGCTAAAACAACATGCTCATAAACAACATACTACATTTCCTACGGTACACTGCCTAAGAGCTGGCAAGAAATATATAGCAGAAGTCAGCACACCTGCCCCATGTGGTCGCACGATTCAAGGAGCCGGCAACTGTTGTCCCGGAGAAGCCGCACCACCAACTTGTAGAACAGCGCGAGATTCCCGCTGGCCACAGCTTCATGCACATACCTGCCAAGATTGCCAGGTTCAAAATATCAAAAGGAGACAAGAAATCTCAGGGTAGCTAAAAGTCCCCTGCTCAATGACAATGCTAAAATTAGAAAGAAAAACAGTGCTTGGCTCGAGTGCGAAAATTTTTCACACGGAACGATTACCATCATCCTTTTCAGCCTATTTCATGTCTCCCACAGGATGAATGCCTCTCCCAATGATATGTATGTTTAAGAACCCTAGATGGTAGAAATTTCCGGAGCCCTCCACTACGGCGTCTCTCTTAATCATATGGTGGTTTTGGAACGTTAAACCTCAACAATTACATTATTGTTATTTCCCAACGATCTCCAATTTCCCCTATCCTGTGCGAGCTGGTTCCATTTTACGCTTGTAGACTTCCCAATTCTGTCACTCCATCTGACCCTCTGTAGCTGCATTTCCCATCTACTGCCATTGAAACATGAATTTGGAAGGCCAGTATGTTTGTAGCCCAAAATACAAAATATGGTGTACGCTTCGCTACCAAACAAATGATCATGATAATGATAGTAACTGCAAAATATGCATTCCACAAGCGGTGTCATGTTATCAATTATTTGCATTGAAGTGTAATATTGGGGTCATTTGATCATAACTATATTACATAATGTTGTACTGTTCTGGCAAACATGTTGCCAATTGCTGTAAAACTACCTCATAACGGAGCCACTCAGTGAAGCGAAAAATGTTTGCAGTTACAATGGCTACTTGCATATTCATCATATTGAAGAAGCTACAACTTAATGTCCAAAATCAGTTCTCTTGACTCGAGGACTACTTCTGCTAGAGAGGAGCATTACCTCGAGAAGTTAAATCTAACTTCCTTATTGAAGTACCTGTAAATCATAATGGTGCTTTCATTAGCACAGCCACTAGGCTGGTATCAATGAATATTCTCTTGCTCTTAAACATAAATAGATAAATTTGAAGAACTGTAGTTAGCAAGCTTTTTGTTTAAAGCCTTAAAGTTTTCTCTCTTTGACACGCACACGTCTGTTTCACGCAGTAGTTAAAGCACTGACATTGACACCTTGATTGATTTGTGGGGTTTAACGTCCCAAAACCACCATATGATTATGAGAGACGCCGTAGTGGAGGGCTCCGGAAATTTTCACCACCTTGGGTTCTTTAACGTGCACCCAAATCTGAGTACACGGGCCTACAACATTTCCGCCTCCATCGAAAATGCCGCCGCCACAGCCGGGATTTGATCCCGCGACCTGCGGATCAGCAGCCGAGTACCTTAGCCACTAGATCACCGTGGCGGGGCAACATTGACACCTTATCAACGATATAATTTGCACTATATACTCAATTACTAATTAGACCAGCATGGTGCCTTCTCACAGGCTACTTTGATGATGAGAAGGGCTGTCATTAAGAAAGAAATACTGATAAGCCACCGCTTGCTTTGCACTCAAAAATTAGATCGCGCAACGTCCAGCACTGGGCATGCAAGAAGAATGTGCATGCAAAGTGACCAGCCAGATCAACTTGCCCTAATTATGCAGAAGCTGAACAGCAATCATGGCTTTAATCATGCACTGGTAAGTGGTAACTTCAACTTCCACCTTCCCTATCCCCTCTGCCAGGTGGCACTATCTGCATCAGCACATCAAGCACTCGCTCAAGACGCAAGCTTGCGTGTTTTTATGTTCCGCCAGCTATTTATACAAGGTGAACATTTCACAATTTCTCTTAGCACAGCGACAGTCACAGTGTACGAGATGCTGTGAGCACTACTATAGTTGGGCAAGGCGGTCACAATGGGCTGGGCTGTATTGTAAACAATGGTTACGCACGGGCATTATTATGGTTAGTTGAATCCATCAACAGGCAACAACTGCATTTCGCTTCTCCTCAACATTAGTTCAATCTAATGATACGTTCTGTTGTGTGCAGACTTATTGGTCTTTTAAGATTTTGTTTTTTCACTACATACCGCACTCGCCTGTCTTCTCCCATGACAGCTCAATAATGCAGTGACAAACGTTCATTTGCAGTCCCTGGTGCCTTTTTTTCCTCTGCAAGACCGTAAGAACGTCATCTTGGTATACACTGAGCATCAATTCTGAAATTTTTGGTGAAATGTAGCAGGTTTCACCTGCCAAAATGATGTTTCGCCTATTGACATAGTATGTCAAATCAATTACATCACTGTCAAAGCAGTGATTGCTCCTTACGTGCGGCCTTTGGAGTCTCGAACCATTAGTCTGCCACTGGCTTGCAGCTTTGCAACAATAGCGGCGGCATTGTTGATTGCAACCAAGGGCAGCTCCTTGCGTAGACGTGCCTGCTGTGGCCACTCTGGATTGGGGTGCCTAACCGGGGGGCTCACGGGGTCATCCCTGCGCACACTGTTGAAGAGAATGAACTTGTGAACATACACTTCCCACAATTCAAAAGTCTCTTTTCAATCAGGTTGCAATTTTTCTGCATCAGCTTTTCAGAGGCACCTTCCATGGTTCTGTAAGAGTTGAAAGAAACTGGCAACTGGCCAGAATGTGACACATGAAACCGATGGAAATGGAAAGATTGTGACTTATAGTCACAGGATCAAGCATCCTCTTCCCAAATTCGGTTGGACTGAGATTTTGAATAGTGTTTGAATGTCACAAGAACTGGTACATCTCATCGCATCGATGGGATGGAACATCCCACTGGCGAAAAAAGAGGAAATATCGGTGAATGGTTATCGACAATAATGTACGCAAAAATGGGATTAGAAATCATTTACATTTTAAGCAAGGATGTCACAAGGTTTCAATCTACAAACATGGGTTCCAAGCTAAAACACCATTCGAGGTAAAAAAAAAATTGTATGGTCGGTCTTCAGACAGGGAGTGAGAAGGGAAAGTCTGTTCTAACACCGTGCCGAGGGCCACATAACACTGCCACATGCAATGCTGACTCTTGCTCCAGACCTTATGAAGCAAAGGGCCAAATTGCAAGAAGTTGACGCTATAGGGGCTGGCCGGCAAGAAGGGGAGAGAGGGGATTTGGCGAGTTTACAACTGTTACGTTTGGCTGAGTAGGGATCCAAGCCGGGAGAGAAAGATGCCGTGAGAAGAAAGAACACGCGTTTTAATACAGCGTGCTCGCCAAAAAAAAAGGTGTACGAAAGAATGGTCCAGGGCATGGTCCAGAGTCAATTATAAAGGAAAGCCGTGAGCAAAGGGGACGGGAAACATATCAAGGCACATGCGCAACAACAGATTATCGTCCGGAGCAAGTGATAAGCGCTGAGCAGTGCGCAATTACAACACAGTACAAAACTACAATAGATATCACTTTTTTTTTTTTTCAGCACGCATGTCACAAGGTTGTGATTTGCAAACAGAAATCGCAAGCAAAAAGCGAACTTGAGTTCAGGAGTGGCTATGTTGGCAATCAGATAAGAAGCAATCAACCGAAGGTGGGGGGGGGGGGGGGGTTCTAACTCCATGTTGCATATCACTACCCTGTGGGCCACAGGTTACCGACCCCTGCTATAACTGACATCATAAACTTAATGATCGGTGACTCAGCTGACAAAGGGCATTACCGGGTACATGAGTGAGAATATTTTGTTAGACATAAAAGCAGCGATGAAACCGTATCGGGCTACAGCGTGGATCACAATCTTATATATGTACTGCAAAACGAACCTGTTGTACCATATCCCCCGTAAAAAGCTCGCACGTCATCTACATATTCGTAGCGAAGATGTACTGGTTTTACAATTAAAATATCTTGCATTGGCCTTGAGTATAGGTCGGCAAATGCGCTCGTGAGTCTACTCACTCGACTCATCCAAACTCGCATCGAGCCTAAAGTCCGAGTGAATCTGGGTTCGTTACACATTGGTGAATCTGACAGAGAAATTTTAGTGAACACAAGCACCAGTGAGTCCGACTGAGGAAAGCATTCACAAGTGCTAGTCTGAGTGACTTTCACATTCTTTTGTCAATCTCTCCAATCTACTTGACTTTGGTGTTACTATCCCCCTCATATCGGCTCACGTTTATAATGATTATGTCTACTCCCACATCAATGCAGTAGCAATCATGTGCCATCTCAATATCAATCGAACAGATGCATGCGTTACGGAAGGGGGAGGGTCGAACGAAGGCCTTATAAAAAAAACATCTCATTCGAGTTATCAACCTCTATGAAAATTTCCTAAGTGGATTTCAACCACTGATAGCTCGTATTTAAAGACACAGATCAAAAGCCCCAAGTAGAGCACTGATTATGCGATATCGGTGTTAAAAAGAATAGACACGTTGGTCGAAACAGATAAAAGCCTGCTAACAAACTCATTAGACAACTCACTCAGACTCGGAGAGAGCCGTGAATTTGTGCCCTAGTGTGTCCAAGTGAGTGAGTCCAAGCGAGCGCGATTGAGGAAAATTTTAGTGCGCCTGAGTTCGAGTGAGCCCAAAAAGGTGAGGTAGGTTTCATGAGCAAGTCCGAGTGAGCTCTAAATTTTTTGCTGTCCTCTGGCCTTGCGTGAAGTGAAGAGCCTGAGGCAGACATTGCAGTTTTACACTGTCAAATTAAAGAAAGAAGTGTTCCATTGCCTCAACCGATGCACGAAGTGGCCAAACTACCTAACATTAGCATGCATGGAACAGACATTCATCTGCGCCAATGTTTTGAGAACACAAATACCTCCACATAAATCTGTGTGAATTAGTCATGCATGCCTCAGCTGGATACTTCGCACATATCTAGAACTCTTATAGGCAGAAACTGACTTGCGGGAGTAGCTCTAAACAGCTTTAGCCATAAGAGTGTGCAGGGTTTCCCACTGGAGATGAAGGAAGTGGGGGACAAACATTCATTACAGTGCTCCCATGCCCTATGAAGTCAATGTATGGAGCAGACTTTGTACCTCTCCTCTTAAACGACTAATAGGAGAGGAGATGCCTCCCCCCCCCCCCACATGTGCATGCCTATGCAAACTCAGCTATATAACACCTAACCTTCCTAAATTTTCGTAATACTTGAGTATGCAGTGCTGTATTTCTCACAGCAGTTTACTTTTTCTGATGTTTTGTAAGTCAGTTCTTTACTGTTGAGGTGCATTTGTACTTGCAGTGTAACACATTTGCTTCTGCTTATGGCTTTCAAATTCAGGCCAGTGGCATTTAATAAAAAATTGAATAAGTACATAAACAAATAAAAAAAAACAAAGCAGGTCATTTCTGCCACAATCCTCAACCACAAGTTCATCTATAAAGGTAAGAACACATTTATGTCTCTAGAAAGGCTACATGACATATTTACATGATTGCTTGCACTGCCATAGGTTTATCTGTTTGTTTTTTGCTGTCTTTATCACTATGGCTGTTTCTTTCTTTGTTTTTCAAAATATTTCTGCAATAACCTCGTTTATTAATTCTTACCATGGTTATTTACTTTTTTGTTTATGCTATATGTATATGGCATGCTTCTGTTTAGCCGGTGTAACTGCTCAGTGTATGAGGTGACCAGGTTCCTTTCAAGCTGCCTAATGAAGTTTTTTTTTTTGTCTGGTCTCCTGCCAGCCTTGTTGTAAAATAAACTCGATGCAATATTCAGACGTTTACATGGCATTATAACTATAAAAAAATTACTTTTTCGTAGTTGGAGACAACAGACTACTTCGCTCCTCAGGGAAATGAGTTGAGATGCTCAAAACACATTATGTTCTAAAACACCTGAATTCATAGTCGCATGCAATGATATGAAATCGATACTGCTTCTAGTGCTAATACCTTTTCATGTTTTTTGAAAATCAACAGTGATCAGTGTGACTGTCTGCCTAAGCTATCAACTGGCAGCTTTAATAGATTGATATGTGGGGTTTAACGCCCCAAATACGATTGAGAGACGCCGTACTGGACGGCTCCAGAAATTTCAGCGACCTGGGGTTCTTTAATGTACACCTAAATCTAAGCACATGGACCTACAGCATTTTTGCCTCCATTGAAAATGCAGCCGCGATTCAATCCCACCACCTGCAGGTCAGTAGCCGAGTACCTTAGCTACTAGACCACCGCGGCGGGGTTATCAACTGGCAGCGAGAGAGGCCAGCACAAAATTGAGCCTAGCACAAATCACCATGAAATGGTGCCCTGGGATTAGAGGAAACTGCATTTGTAGTCTTTGTCACACACGCTGCAGTCGGCAGAACAAATACCTCTTTCCTGTCGGCAATGCCTTGTTGAACAAACATGGTCAGCAAGCAAGTGATTGCATTGAATGTTGCTGTCAGTCATTCTCTAATGCCCATGCTAAAGTGCCAAAATGCAATGAGTGCACATGATTGGTATCATCATCAGCCCAACTTCGCCCACTGCAAGGCATAGCCTCTTACATCTGCTCGTCAATCCGCCCCTGTGCTTTCTGCTGCCACTTTATGCCTGAACGCTTTTTAATCTCATCTGTCCCCCTAGCTTTCTATCTCCCCTTCGCTTGTTTGCCTTCTCTGGGAATCCAGTCAGTTAGCCTTAATGACCAGTGGTAGTTCTGCCGATGCGTTATGTGCCCGGCCCATGCCCATTTCTTCTTCTTAATTTCAACTATGATATCCTTAACACCTGTCCATTCCCGAACCCACTCTCCTCTCTTTCTGTTGCTTAAGGTTACACTTATCGTTTTCATTTCTATTGCTCCCTGCATCTTTCTCAATTTAAGCTGAGTCCTCTTTGTTGGCCTCCAGGTTTCTGCTCCATAAGTACCGATAAAATGCAGCTGTTATATACCTTCTTCTTGAGAAATAGTGGTAGACTAACATTAACGATTTGAGAACGCTTTATCAATGTGCTCTTATTTGACTATCATGGTTTGGCTCTACGGTTACTACCTGTCTTAGGCACATTCTTGTACAACTTCCAGTGTTTGACTCTGATCGTTTGGTATATGAAGCCTCTTATATCCAAAAGAGCGGCTTTCGTTGCGCAAGCTATCTGTTACGCCGCTCCTTCGACAGGAAATATCATTCCTATCAGTACAGCGTTGACACTATACTTTTAGACTTGCTCTGAATATGTCATTTGTTTTTCTTTTTTTCAAACAGGGCATTCATTGCAGTGATGCCTGAAGATGAAGCGAGCGGTGTGCATTATATAAGGAATTGGTCAATAATGAAACCTGTCAAGCGATTTAAAAGTTTGTGAAGAGCTACCGGGAGGCCGACATCGAAAGTCTTTTTTATCGTCATTCATTTTTTTTTGTGTACACAATACTGCCAAGATTAATTTTTAATCATTTATAGCGCTTTATTGCGGATTTTGTAACTAAGGTAATGCAAGCCGCCCGTCCACCGATCAGATAACCCAAGTTCTCGGAAAGGAAGGCACGCCGTTACGTTTACACTGAGAACCATGATAAACCTCTTTGGGGCTGACAGCAGCAACAACGAAAAACAAACAAATTGGCTAAGAAATATACTATGCACTATATAGTACGCAATACCTGTCTTCTCGCGGCCGAATAGGCTTGAATTGAGGAGGCTGGCGGTTGATCTCCTCAACTGAGGCAGGCAAGGACGGGGGTTCGCCATGGTGCAGATATTTTAGTATTTCCTCGATTCTGGCTGGCTTTTCTGGGTCGTCGCCGTCTTCCAGTTCAGCGCCGCTGCTCGAGGTACTGCATATCGTCTCGTTCGATGCTGGCGGAGACAGAGAAACGGCCGAGTCGACCGACGAAGGCCGGTTGTCGGACGAGGGACTCCATTCGTCGGCGCTGCCATAACGATACGGGCACGGCCGAGGCACTGTAGCGCGACGCACGGGTCCGCGGCGCCGAACCGTAGGACTCGCGTCGCCGTCATCCTCATGATTGGGCGACTCGTAGCCTTCGTCGTCAACAGAGAGCGAGTCGAACAAGTACCGCAAGTCCTCGATGGGCTCTCCGCTCACCATTTTCTTTTGTGAGCGATAACAGCTACGGTGACTAAACGCTCATCCTTTCGACACGTCCGGCTGGCGCCAACAGAGAGATTTAGGACTGTGGTTGCGCTCGCTGGAAGCCGAAGGGGCCAAAGCTAGCGCGGGAAATCGTGTCTTCGCCCCGCAGCTGGCATAACAACAACAACCTGAACTTCCCTGTTGTTGCGTCACAGAAGCGTGTCTTCACGTTTCCTGGCGGTAACGTTAACCCTCAGAACACCTACTGTTAACCTTTCTAGCTACACCTACTAGTTGCTTAGCTCACTTTTACGTTGTTCTTTGGTAATGGATGGATGGATGAATGTGGCTGTACCCTTTAGATCAGGCGGCGGCTAACGCCACCTAGCCGTAATACTTAGTGAACTAACCACTAGTTTTATTTTTTTTCCCTTTAAATAGTGAAGTTGGGGACTGGTACTTTGCAGTGAGGGTTTTAATTTTCACTCGTGCCTTGACTTTAGCCACCTATCAGATAACCTTCTTCTAGTTAATTCTACCCGCTTAAAGCTTGCCGTTACCGCTGGCATAGGTAACGTTACCTATGCCAGCGCCTCTTATGCACCTAACAAAGTTGGCTCAACAATAAGTCAATAATAAAATTGTGTTTTATTTTTACAAAAAATTCACATCTACGTTTTTAAAATGCTGTTATAGTTTGTGCAACATTGTAACAAAAATATATAAATACATTTATTTACAAATGTGCAACGCAGTCATTGCGAGCCAAGCCGAGAACTAAACGAAATCCATAAGTGTATCAACAAAAACGGGAAAGGCGAAGCCTTCCGTTTCTGTCACCTTCGTAGTTTCATATTGTGTGGTCGTTGTAGTAGGCGATCGGTAGTGAGGATGCTGCGGCCGACCAGCGGTTGTAGCTAGCCTAAACGTCCTCAAGATGGGCCCAGCGGCTGCTGTGGTGCTGTTCTGGGCGTGCTTTGTGCAACCGACGCCGGCGCAGCTGATCATCAACGTGCGCAACGCGGGAGGCGACCTGCTCCGCGAGCGACTGCTAGCCAACACCAGCGACGAGACCATCACACTCGAATTCCAGAGGGCTGATGGCACGCACGTCACGCAGCTCATCGACTTCCGCGCGGTCAGTGAACGTCGACACTCGAGAACGATAACGGCTAGCCGGTTGCGAAAGGGCGCGCACCCGCTTACTGAACACTGTTCGCGCGCGTTGCGAAACAGAAGTTGCGTAGTGAAGCCCGAGGTAGATGTACGCAGGTTGTTGATCGCCAAGTCGCAGACGTTAGGTCAGGCCGGGACTAAAAAGATTGTACAACAAAACTAGCATCAAAATGTCATTGTAGCCGATTCCGTGCACGCTGCTCGCTTCGTAGGTAGCTCGTATGCGACCTCTGCGAATGTGTTACTCCTGTGAATCGAATTAGCCGCTTACATGTTCTCCAGATTTGGCATGTCTGCGCCCCCCCCCCCCCCCCCGTTTCTTTCTTTCTGTGATCATGCAGTGTAAGCGCTTATCAGAACGAAGGAGCCATAACTGTGTTTTTAAAAAGCCCTTTCCCCCTTAGAAAAGCTGCGTCTAGACGAGTAAGGTATGTATTCAGTGTAATACTCCCCATTCGGAGTTGCGCTGTTTTTACTTCACGACGAAGTAAACTGTAGCGATAACATACTAGTTGGGATGAATTTAATAAAGACATTTATATTGCACAGAATTTTCTTCAGTTGAATTTTAAGATATGTGGCTAATCATTTGAGTGTAGCATTTCACTCAGTGCCTGTTGACTGCAGACGTACTTGAGCAACTTGCCCTTGTTCCAAGGTGCTGTGACAGTTACTAGTGATTGATTGCTGGCACCATGCCTGCATTGTGGCAAATGTGTGCTTGGCTTGGCAAAGCTTGTTCACACACAAAAGGCTCCGATGTAGACGTGCTCAAGGACAAATGATGTGAAACCCAATGTCGCAGCAGTAATAGTTGGGAAGGATGTTGGCACAAGCTAGTTGGCAGCGGGAGCTGCCATGTATGTGGTTGAATAGAAACTGTGCTAGTTTGTGTGGGACATTTAAATGTTTCATGGGGCTTGCTACTCGGAGAGAAGGTGCTAAGAATTATAACGGTGCATAATGACAACATAATACCCATAGGATTACCGTACTAAGCCAACACATACACTATACCAAGCTGGCATTTGTGGTGTCTTGACGTCTTTCTTGTATCCATGTTTACACACTTCTTTTTGTAATGGATGGTTACCAACAAGGTCAGCTCTGTTGATCATAACAGAAGCTGAAGACTGAAGAACTGCAAATAACACCCCTTAGCTTGTTTCACCATGTTTCCTTGGCTTCAGCATGTGATGGCTTTGTATGGCTATGTCGAACAAAGCAAGCCCCTTAACCTGTTTCACTTCCCTCATTCATTTCCTAGCGAGGGTATCGATCCCAGCAGGTTTGATGCCTTTAGGTAGTGTGTGAGGGTTTATTAGTCAACTGCCTGCATGCAGAATTTTTGTGCTACATGATACCAAAAGACAGAATGTTCCACATTTGCTGGTTAACATTCCTGGGGTCATACGAGCAGAAATAGCCAAATAAAGGGAATTTAGGATTAGCCACTGCAATAGCACCAGTGGTAGTGCACGATCGCAAGTTTAGTTCCTACTGGCAAGGACAAGTTTTTGTTTCTCCTTTCATTTTAATTTACTTTGCAATAGCTATGGCGCACTTCAATTTGAAGCTATAAACAATATCCCCCATGCCTCATGTTATTGTTTATTGTTCATGGTTATGTGTACCACGTGTTTCACTCCATTCCTCTTTTTACAAATAACATTCCTGTTATATTGGTGTATATTTCGCTTGTCTGTGACTACCTGTGATATGGTTTATGCAATACAGTAAAGATTGTAACACTCTACTTTCATATTTTTTGTTTGGAACTTAATATGAATGTGACTGCAGTGACCAGAACTCGGAACCGTTGTACTGCAGCCACTGAGTTACCATGAAAGGCCTTTCAGATATCTCCATCTTTTTGCATAGCATGTACTAACTTCGAAGCATATAACGCCATACTTGGTAGTGTCTCAATATCATTATTATTATTATGAAATGAATTAGTAATTTTATTTCAGAGAGTGGTATGACGAAACATGCATATAAAACATTTGTATTATGTGCTAAACGACTGGACGCCTCAAATCTGTGCTCATGTACACTTGAAGTGCAAGTAAGCAAAAGTTTTGTTGAATTTGAAAAAAATGTTGAGAAATACCTACAGCTCTGTGGCACATAGTGACATTTAGATGTTACAAAATAAAGAGAGGTTAGAAAGCAAGCACTGAGCCTTTGGTCTATATGTGTGGTGTAGCAGTACCAAGAAAAGCTATAATACCAAATATCAAGTGTGAAGCATTTATAGACAGTTGCAAGAAACCAAAGACTGTGAAAGGAACAATCAATATTACAAATAGCTAAGAGCAACACAGGGCTGAGTTGGTTACAATATGACATATAAAGATAGGTTAGATAACAATATAAAGATAGGTTAGAAGGTGAGCCTCTGGTTAGCAGTCTCTCTTGTTCCGATAATTTCTGGTTAATGCAATGGTCCGTCTGTCCTATATAGAAGCTGCCGCAGCTGACAGTGACTTCATATGGCACACCTTTACGGTAATCGGAGAATTTGTTGGTGTGTTTTATGGAAAAAATATGCCTGTCCGCTTGTTGTCTTGCTAGTTTTTTCTGTGCACTATGCCACAAATCTTACCTAGCTTATTGACAGCCATGAAAACGATGTTAATTCCGTGTCTACTTGCTACTTTCTTAAGCATGTGAGATACACAATGTATGTTTATTGTAAACTACAAGATGTTTATTCCTATCGCTTTCTGCAATTATGCTTGGACACAACACAACGGACCTCTGTAAAATGGCAATAGCAGCATGAGGATAACCTACATCTAAAAGATGCGTAACCTGTGCATTAAAGCTATCGCTCATTTTGTGCTCACAAGTCTTGGTGAGGACAGGTTTAAGGCAAGACATGGCTGTACCGTTGTTACAACCTTAGAGTGCTCTGACAAAAAATTTAACAGGATGTTTTGATGATCTACAGAAATACTGCCAGCATACATGGCCCTTCGGAAATGCCTAGAAATGTATTCCATTATTGTGAAGCAATTCTTTACTAGTAAGGTTTAGCCCCCCCCCCCATTTGGTTCAAGTCTTTTGCTCTCTGTGGTTTCCACAGTTTTAAAGTCCTCAACACTACAAAAAATTAAGTAACAGAGCAATTTTGAACCAATGCATGTACCTGGTTCCTGCACATGAACGCCTTCCTTCCAGTCTATCAGCATCTACTCTAAGTACGTGGAAAGAATTTGTAAAATAGTGCCTGTCAAAACCCCATATTTATCAGCTAAAGCCATCTGTGCCCTTGTTTAATAACACAGTCATTAACACTTTTTAACAAGTCCTCACGCAGCAATGAGCTATGAAGGTTTTTGTGCTTCATATGCTTATGCAAGCGTTGTTGTTACAGGAGGTGCAGGTGTTTCGGGTAGTGGTCTTGGCCGAGGAAGAGCAAGGCCACAGGGAACCTCAGGTGCTGTGCTTCCTCATTCGCTTCAATCGCCTGGGCTTCATCTCGGTTGACGCCATGTCTAAGTTGCGGCAGGTTGGTTTTCTTCCAGTCTTCCAGAGTGCAGATTCAGTAAGAGCGTTAGATTGAGGAGGTTTAATGTCCAAGAGCAGCAGTACAGCCTCTTTACAAGGGCACTCTAAGAGGAAGCTAAATCACCTCAAAGTCTTTCAAACAAGAGAGAAGTTTGTGGGAAGATGGAGGCCTAAAACAATAAACAGTGATAAAGACCCTTTCAAAACACTTTTTTTTTTGCATTCATTTAGCATTAAAATTTTCTTTTGCTAATGGAGTAATGAACTTAACACCATACTTATATTTATTTCTTAATTTCCTGCAAGAACTTTAGCCCCAGTATTCTTGACAGCATTTAAGCTCGCTGGGAAGATGTTCAAACTTGTTATCTCTGTTGTTCCTTTATGGTGCAGCTTAGTCGTAAATAGATTTTAGTACACTCAAACCTCATTATAACAAAGTTTAATCTTACATGAAAATAAGTTAATTATATCTGAAAATTTATTATAAAGGTTTATTCCTAACACTATATCTATTGGAAGACTATTTTTAATTTACTTTATTATAACCAATATTTCATTACATCTGGTATCAATATATCGAGGTCTGAGTGTACGTGCAGTCCAAATGGAGAGCCGACATGATAAATTGACATGGCATTGCAAGAGCACGATTTATTTTTTTTCACTTGTTCTATCTTATCAAGCTTCTTTTCAAAGTAAGAAATATATGTAGTTTTGGTTTTATCAGTAATTTACTGCGTACGCAGGATGACACGCAGTTGTTCTTCCCTTGGCAGCAAATTAAAGTGCATAAGTCAGCAAAAAATGTGATGTGGAACTCGCTCATACTTACTCATAAAATACATTTTGTACTCAGGACTCACTCAGGCTGACCCACCAAAGCTTTTTTCAACCGGACTCGCATGGTCTTGGACTGAGCTAAATTTTTATCAAACGGACGTACTTGGACTCAATGTCACCAAAATATTACTGACACCGACGCACACGGACTCACTGCTCGATCTATGTCGGAGAGAGTCGGAATGAGTCCACTCATGAGCGAGTTTGCTAAACTTTTCATGGGATGATAGGGCAGCTAAAAATGTGGAACTCACTCAGACTCACTCACGAAATATATTTTGTTCTTCGGGTCCACTCGGACTCACACTCACAAAAATTTTCCACGAGCAGACTCACTCGCACTCAGACTCAGTTTTTTTCCGACCGCACTTACTCAGACTCACTGGAACTCGTTCAGACTCGCGGGTCTATCTGAGTCTGAGTGAGTCGACTAGTCAGTTTATTAGCTTGCAATTAGTTTTTTTGACCATGGCACAAATGCTCTCAACATCAATATCCAACATAATCTGTGCTCTGCTTGGTGCCTTCTGATCTCATACCTTTAAATATGAGTTGTCAGTGGTTACAATCTAGTAAGGACATTTTTATTGAAAGAAATTACAAACATGATATTTTTATCAAGAGCTTTTTGTAAAAGAGATTGGGGGGGGGGGGGGGATAATCAGGGCACCTCACCCACTCAAAACTTGCGCCTGATCAATAAGTATTGAGTTGGTGTATGAATGCTACTGCGTTCAAGTGCGTAAGTAGACGAGAGTATAAATGTGAGCGGATGTTAGGCTGACAGTGATGGTGAAGTTAAGTAGGTTGGACCATAGTTCAGTAAAAAATTTGGAATTCACGTGGACTAACTCAAGAATTATAGTTTATGCTGAAAATATAATTTGCACTTAAGCTTATTTAGATTCAGGCTAGCCAAAACTTTCTTCAACTGGACTGCTGGCTCAGATTTGCTAAGTTATTACTCACCCTGTCTTACTCAGATCATAATCTGAGTAAGTCTGAATAATCATCTCTTGAGTGAGCTTGCCAACCTATGTCTGTGGCTATGCTTGGTAGCTGTGTAGTGCAGTTACTGAGCGACTGAAACCAATTTTTTTGTTGTAAAAGACAGAACAAACAAAAACAGAGGAATATAAAACGCATACTTGGGTTGGAAAACTTGAACTCCCGACCTTTTGATTTTGAATTCCTTGAATGCTCAATCGCTGCAATCATCGGCCTTTTTGCTGGCAATTCCGTGTATGAGTGACCACATGTATTAAACGTGAGGGCAGCTCCTCAAGCTTCACTAGTGCTTGTGAGCAGCTTGATTTTCTTTTAGTAATAGCCTGAATGGATGCACTTGTTCACTGGTTTACCGTTTTCATGGGTGCCAAACAGCTATCATCAAAGAGTATTTCAATAGCATGACATAGAACCTTGTAATTCGATAAAAAATGTCTATGAATCAGCGTCTTTAAAGGACACTCATCAGCAAATTCGTGTTGCTTTTTTAAAGGAAGTAGGAACTTCAGGTCATGATCGATTTTCCATTTTGTGGAAGGATTGTTGTTGAATGTTGAGTTTGTTGTTGTTAAACTTGTCTCGTGGAGAAAGCTTGTAGCCCTGTACATTCTGTGTTCTGGAAAGACCTCTGCTGTCTTTTGCGACTTGTAATTGTGTGACAGCGGAACCCCTTGGCGGAACGAGAACCCGAGGATGACCGTGGCCGTGAACTGGTGCAATTGGACCTGAGCGTGGACTTGTCCCGTGCGGGTCTCATCTCGCCGCATGTGGCCACGTTGTGTGCCGATGCCCCCCAGGCGACCTTCGCTCGACAAGGGGACATGCAGGCGTGGGCTGCTTCACCTGCACGCCAAGGTCTGAGTAATCTTGTTTTTTTTTTTTTTTCAAAGATTTGACTACTCGTTGCACGCTTGATGTCATATATCAAAGCTCGCCAATCGAAGTGCTTGTTGCAACTCTTCTTGTGTATGTGACCACATGTAGCATGTCTCTAATATGTCAGGCTATTTGCTTGCCAGTTCCTTTTAGTTGGGTGCCGAGGCTGTGAAGGATATAATCGCAGCAACCAAGTCAGTGCGGTATGAAGCAGGCATCACCCAGTGTCAGTCAAGAGTCATGTGAGAATACTGGTAGTAGTGGCACACAGAAGCTTCATGAAAGAGGTCATGATGCAAGTCCCTTCACCAAAACATAGATTAAAAAATGAGGCTTCCATTCCTCTTGGTCATTTTGTCCCCACCGTCTTAGGAACCTCGTGGAAGTAGAAGCGTCACTTTCAAAATGCACCTGCTGGCCATTGCGCATTTATTGATTTCATTCCGCAAAATCTAAGTAGTATGTTTTGTGGCAGTACTGCTTCGGGTACAAGAAGGAACTCTAATATTATTGACAGGGGCATAGCAAGAAAACCTTTCTTTTCTTTTTTTTTGGGGGGGGGGGGGAGGATTAACCATTATTTATGTATGTTTGTACTTGTTTTTTATTTGATGACTGCTATTCCTCTCATTTTACGAAATTCGCATTATTATTGTGTGAGAGAGCTGGAAGCCATCTGATTCATGCACACCGCTTACTATAACAGGAATTCTGTGGACATGAGTTGTATTATCTACATAATATGTAATAATAATATCTAGGGTTTCATCGAAACAATGATATGATTATGACGGACGCTTAAGTGGAGGGCTCTGAAAATTTTACCATGTGGTGTTCTTCAGCGTGCACTAACATCGCACAAACCACAGGGCTCTTGTGTTTCACCTTCAACGAAACATGTACATAATATGTAGATTGCTTCTTTGAAAGCCAGCATATGTACTGTATTCTCATGTGCATCTTGCCATATACAGCGTCTGGCCAGGATCCACTTTTGCTGGCAACTGCTGTACGTCCAGCACCGGGAACAACAGAAGCAGCGGCAGGTCTGCGCTGTGGTGCCCTGTCTCAAACGACATCGGGCCCATGTGGCTGTCATTTGCAGCTGTGCGTTGCCTGGTTTCCATGTGGTCTCAAGTGGTGCCGCGATGCTCGCCGAGCTGCCTTCCGCTGCGGGATACGCTCGTGCCGCAAGTGCCGAGAGTTCCGCTTTCCCGTGACCGACCGCATGCAGTGCCTCTGGGACGATTCCTCTGCTTCCTGATGGTTGCTGGCATCGCTTGCCCACCGTAGACGGCCTTAGGGACAAAGCTTTGGCAAGCAGTCGCCAACAATCCCAGCCTTAGTCGTGGCCAAGATGCAGGTGGTACACCTCTGCAGTCGACTCCCGTAGGTTCAAGATCGTCTATGGCCCAGTGCTACAGCTGCTACGGACTTCTCACCAGCTCGTGAGAGTATATAGGAGGCATGAATGGGCATATAGAAGGCCGAATGGGCATGACCTAAGCCCAGGTCAATGCCCAAGTGCAGCAGTGTTGCAAGGTTCACATGTTACCCTGTCTGTCACAAGGTCTAAGTAAGGTCATGGTGAGTTTATCATGTGGTATGTGAATGAGGGCATTCACTGAGTTAAGACGACTGTTTTTTAACCATTTAAATAAGCTCTTATACATGCCTCTTGCAAAGCGTGAGGTGGTGTGAACAAAATACATTAAACTGATCAAAACTTTGTTGTGCCGCAGACTTCATTGCTAATCTGCAGCAAATTTTAGGATATGAAGTGTTAACAAAGTATGTTGTCATTGTTCAGTGCTCTACAAATGTCATTTCGGCAGCTTTTGGTGGGCCATGGTACAACGCCAAACTATCGCTCAACTCCAAAAGCTGTGAAGTTCAGGTGATACCTTGCTAACAGTGTGCGCATAAGGTCCCAACATAATTTCATTTTTGGTGCTTCTTGTGTTCATAGTGTACGTGTGAAGTGCAAGAGTAGTAGTAGCTACGATACATTGAAGGCAATTAATAATTTGCAAATTGCAAGCGTGCTCGTGTTGGTGCACACACAGTTGTTGCATTTACAGTGTATACTGCAGTACATTTTAGTATTATTTTGTACTGTTAATGAAAAATTTGCCTCTAAGGCAACGTCATGAGCAATTTGTTGCATATCTTGTGATCAGACACCCAATGTGTAGAGCTGATTTGTGGGGTTTAACGTCCCAAAACCAAACCCAATGTGTAGAGCTGTTCGTGTGCTAGTATTTATGCAATTAGGAAAAAGGCATGGAATGAACCTAAAGTGGAAAATAGGGTATTTTACATTCTGTGGTGTGTCGAAGCCTTCACAGTGACACATCAATATTGCTGCTATTCAGTATACTAGGCTGTGTATCCGAGCTGCTGTTAAGGGGGCCTTGCGCCCATTTATTCAAGTAATAGTCAGATGGCTTCAGTAAAAAAGCTCATTGCCATACGAATCGGCTGCCACAAAAAGTTTTAGGATCTCTTAAGTGTGAGCGAATTTACAGGGATTGCCGTACGCTTCAAGCGCTTTTTCTTTCCTTTCGTACTAGTCGCTGAAAGCTACGCCGAGAAGGGAACATTTCGCAAACTGTTGCAGGGCCCTTTTAAGCAACAATGCTATGCAGTGGACACAAACAATGACAGAAAAGGTAAAGCTGTTTGTATGAATTAACCCGAGTTTACTGTAAGTTTGTTCATAGGGAAACATTTGGCTCCTTGAGCAGCTAAAAGAACAAGCTTGTCCCTAAGCCGTGTGTAATATGATTGGTGCATGCAAAAATGTCTAGGAACAAAAATTAGGTTGTGTGCTTTAGATAAGTCGGACAGAATTCGAAAATCATTTACCTGCTGTGTGCCTTCATGAGGTCACATTGATAACTTTGGCTGGAAAGTCTTATCCCAGAGCTGATCGCTGCAATACAAAATATCAAGTAAAAATGCTGCTGTGATTCGCATAAACTAAAGCATGGCCATGTGAAAGCTTCCTAACGTTGCACCTTTGAGAATATGAAAAAAAGAACATGCTTTAGGATACTAACACATACACAAAAGACACCTTCAGGTTTCGCTCCAGAATAAGTTATAAAAATTCGTAGCTGTTTGTGTGATGCAAAAAAAGAAGCGCATGACAAAGTGCAAAAAGATAAACAAATAAGAAAGACCACGATTTACTTTAGTTTGTCACAGAACACTTTTGATGGAGTGAGGTGTTTGAAAAGCCTGTGTATAGCTAACTTTTTTTTAATAGCTGTCATTGCAAATAGTGTCACTTTGTAATATGGTCACAAATGAATTTTGCACGTAAAAGAATTGCTTAAAAGTGTCTGAAGAATATTGAGCAGTCTGTAAAGCAAAGTCAAAGAAAATTTATTTCTTCGGGGTGTTTGAATTCTGTATTTGTAGTCTGATTTGCAAATTTCACCTTTCAATTTACATAAGTAGCTTATAGATGAATGAAAAATGCCACGTCACCCCAGTTCCTGATTGATGGCGTTCCTCAGTGGTCATTGGACGATATTTGTGAAGGAAGAAAGCTGGAGAAGTCTGTTACGAGTGAGTGGCAACTTTGGTGTAGCCCGAAAGCCAACATTGTCCACATAGTCTTCCACGCAACTGCACCAGAATGCTTGATATAATGCTATCATTGCAGTCATTACGGGTCAGAACTTGTGTAAATAGTGAGCAGCTGCTTGTAGCAGTCTACATAGGCACATTTTCTGTGGTTGGCAGTGTCCAAGAACAACATTTATTCAGCCATAACAAAATGCGAAATATTACGATTCCAGTCACTTGATGCCCTTTATTGCAGATCAACATGGAACATGATTTCCAATGTAGCAGACCATTTCACTTGGTTTGATCGGCTTTTATAATATTATGATGGAAATTCCAGTTTTAGTAATCTGTTGGATCCAATGGAGTAACTTTTTAACATAATTTGTCTAGGCGATACACTCGCATCACACTTTGTAGATGATATGTACATGCGCGTAGTCTAGGTGTATCGTCTACACCGACAGATTCATTTCATTACTAATGCAGTATAGTGAAGCAACACATATGTGAAAACGCAGGTGTTTGTCTCAAAAAAGTCATACAATTGCCTGTAAACAGAAATGTTTAGCATTGGAATTTGGCCTTTGTTCATTCGATGCTGTTTATAACATCTTGGATAAATAATCTTGGATAAATGAACATATCTGTAATCCGCTTGATGAGAACATACGTGTTGTCACACAAATGTGTCCAAATGCATATCATGGGGAAGCTTGCATTTTCCAGAGTTTAAGCTTGGTGCTATCATTTCTTTGTGGCACTGTTCTGAGAGTTGTTTTATTATGGTATGTATTGTCATGCCAGTAATCGTGTTGATGGAGGGATAATATACGCATAGCATGATTGAAGAAAAAGATGAATATGACCCAGTAAATGAAGCAAGAACTGCACTTCTCAACTTGCACATTAAGTACAAGCATAATATACCAGTAAATTAGCAAAATTTGTTAGGATTTGTAGTAGACATAAAATATCTTTGGAAATTTCTGTACGAGGTACAATCGATTTGTGAAGTTAGTCCAGTACAATTGTTATGCATGCGGCACTGTTTCTCAGGTTTCATTTATAACAACACTACGGGTGAGGAAGACATTAACATTCTCGTAGATTTCTGGAAAGTTAGTTTTGTTATCACTTAATAGTCATCATGTTGTTCTGACGCCAAATTCACACCTTTTCAAATGTTTTCTACAACACATGTTGGTTTATGCATGGAATCTTGTAATAATTTATTTCACAGTAATTTCAAGCTATATGTGCATTGGTGTTCATTCATCTCGGCATTAAATCACTTCTATAATAGAGGGAACATATCGATGAAACATAGAACCTACTTTGCATTTTTGCATATCAAATGCTACATAAATCAGCGCAAGGTGTATACATGACACTTCTGGCTGAGTTCTGTAGATATTATAGTTCAAGCATTTTAACTATGTGTTTGGGTGCAAAACTAATGAGAAAGGCATGCAAGCAATTCCAGACAAGAAGAAAATGCATTTCCTGTTAAAACAGTTGTGATGCCACCAGTTACTGTCACAAAAAAAAGTATCTGCTGTGCTTAGGGCTACGATGGCAGTAACATCTATGCTGTTCTAGGTTGAAATCTGTTATCTAGCAGTTAGACAATGTACATGCACCTGTTTTTTTTTTGTTTTCTTTAGCTGGAAGATTCATATGTGCTTAGCATTCATATTCACGGTACACACAGCATGTTTGCACTGCCTAAAGGTGTGGATGGTAGCGTAACTTGGCTTTCTACTTGTATAGCTGTACCGGTATTAGCATTGAGACATAACAGAAAATGCATTTTATGGCAGCACTTGTGGCCAGTGCCTGCGTGCTTGTATTGCTAAGAACGTGTGAAAAGTTCTGCACTTTACTGAGCATTGCTGGAATTGTGTACGTTGCAGAATGAAGGGCTCGACGGCAGCTCTTTTCTCTGTGGTCAAATGCGGGACTCTCTGCACATAACTAATATTGTGGTGTTGGCAAAAGGTTCACAGCCTTGAAGTCGGTACAAGTAGACGTGTACCTTTCATATCTCCATTCTGAAGACGTAGGTCTCTGGACGGCATTGAGTATGCAGAAAAACTGAAGGTGTGCCACATTTTATCCATCTTGAACAAAGACAGTACTGCTACTTAACACATGGACAAGTAAAGAACACACGAGTACAGGTTCCGTCCCTAAGTTCTTTGCTTCGAGATAGATCCATACCAACAAGCTCCTTTGCCAACTCTTCTAAGCTGAATTTTATGAAAGAGGTCCTCTGTGGACAACACTTTAAATGTGCAGATTGCAACACAATATGAGCACTGTAGCCTCCTGCTAACAAGTGTGTTGAGATAGCAGCCCAAGTCGGCCTGGATTAGTGAATTCCTGCTGAGAAACTGTTACGACTATGGTTTCCTGCCACTTGCAGGCTTGCAAGTATACAAACTTTTTTTTTTTTTACTTACAACAGCAAAAAAGTGACTTCTGCAGTGCAGATTCTTGCTCAAAATTTGTGAGATGTGACCAGTGTAGAGGTTGTGGGTTGCATGTATGCAAGTGATTGCCTGAATCTGTGCTTTTCTCGTTTACATTGAGATCTCCTAAATGCCCACAACTTTGCAATCTTAGAAGTCTCACTGTGCCTTCGTCGTAAGGGTGCCGAACTGAACACGCTCCCTTTGTTGAAGTACCACTGGCTTAGCCAACATTGTGCCAGGTCTGTGAGGCTTGGTCCCAATTTCTAGGCAGTTGTCGCGCCATAGGTGTGAGGATATCTGACCCCGGTGTTCATTCTTGTGGCCGTCACTCGCAGGGCACAATGGTTTGTTTGTAAAACAGTCAAGTTCCTCCGCTGGCTATGCATGCAAGTGAAAACGCTGTGATGCGATAATCAGTGAATTTCGAACTTTTTTATTATAGTGGCAAAGTATCTTGATTATGATGTGTTCTGGCCCAACTCGTTTACTACCTGTATGTGAAATTGTTTGAAATGTGGTATTCTGTACATTGTGGTTGTACAGGTGTAGTTAGCGCCGTGTGTTGAGCGAAACGCTGCTTCTCTGTGCTTGTAAGTATATCTGCGTTTGAAGCACAGCTGTAGCATTTTACTCTTTAACAGCAGTGTTTCACAGTGTGTCTCTGGCACTGTAGTTGTTGGTAAGCTACATGCTCAGTATAGTTGAGAATAGCCTAGTGTCATGGGTTGAGAGCTCAGCAAGGCAGTGAACTTCAGTCTGTTCAAGTGAGTGTTGGCTAAATGTGATTCTTAATAATTTATTATGACTTGCATGAAAAGAAAGCATATATATTGTGCTTTCTTCTGCAGCAATTATGATGAAATCAGGCACATGTATTCTAAGAGTTTAGACTATGCTTGTCAGTTCTTATCACTTGCTTTGATCAGTTCACACTCGTATTCATCACATGTTAAGAATTGGACATCAGTTCTTTGCTATAGAAGGTCAGATGGAAAGACCTCCATACTTGTCTGTTCACCTTATTTATGTCAGGCGTCTCTGAATGTTTTTTTTTTATTCTGCTCTTGGCTAACTTACAAGCTACAGATCAGTTACTGCTGCTTGTACAAAGTTCCAATTAAGGCTTGCTTTAATTTACTATAATAAAAAATGCTCTAGGAACATTGCAGGCCGAAATTTCTATTGGTTTGGTATGGTCACTCAAAAGACATTAAAGTTTTGATTATAGGGAGTAGACTGTTATGCATGGGCAATGCATTCTCACCTGTAATATTGATATCGAAGGAGGCACTGGACACCGACAAGCATTAGCAGTGGTATAGCGTGCACCATCCAGTCCTAGCCATGGACATGCGCAATGCTGCCGACTTGGAGTGTTGTTGTTGTGTCAGGTGGCGATGACTGAATAGCGCGCACTATACAATTTCGAATGCCTGCTACTGTTCACGTTTGGTTTGATGCCAATAGTACTTGCAAAGGAATATCCCGTGTGCTTGAAAATATACGCCAGTTTAGGCATAGCATAGAAGTGTGTTGTTTGTTTTGTGAATGTGTAATGCTGCAAATGTGGCAAGAGAGTTGATAGGTAGGCTAGCTATTGGTATAGTTTCATCATGGGACATCATCTTGGCTGTGCAAATCAACGGGACAAAGAGTAGGACTACGAATAAGCGGATCTGTCAATTATACCTGTGCTTGTTCGTGTCCTGCTTTTTCTTTGTCTCGCTTGTTTGCGCTGCCAAGTTGTCATAATGCATATCTGGCATTTTATGCTGAAGTGTTGTTCGTCCCTGTCTTTTATTGCAGAATGCCTGGCTAAGAGGAGGGCTGCATAAGTAGCACATGGCCTTGCTTTTATGAGTTACGTTATGTACTCGTGTGCCTCAGTGCCCTTCAGGGGGGGGGGGGGGGGACATTTTAGTTTAAGCAACTCGCTACAGAAGGTGCCGCTCTGCCTGTTTCCGACGTTGCCACATCCTCAAAGCAGTCAATGCAACTTGCTTAAATTCCAGCGTTCACAATATGAAGCTTTACTAATTGTGATGCTCGTGCAGTGTTCTTCGTTTTCGAAACCATTATGTAGGAGTCACTGAAAATGCCTCGGCGTCTCTAGTCACAGTAATGTCTGTGTGTTGCACTGTTGCCATTGGATGAACTTAGGGAACCTATATGATGCATGATTAAGGGGAGCTGATAGAAATGAGGTTTTGGTTATAGCTCCTCACTCATCTGGTCTTACATTTGTTGCTGAATACTGCGTGCCATATTATCCTGAGTCGTGGCTCACACTTTTTGTGACAACTATACGATAAACGAGGTTTCAGGCAGTCTCTGCATCTGCATAATGCCTGCAGCCAAGAATAAAGAATAGCTGGGAGTGACCTGTAATTGGTGTGGCTTGAGCAGTGTCTGCGAGATCTGTCCACGCAATCTTTTATTCAAACTCAAGTCCCTTTGAAGCAGTCAGAGGCAGTGTCGCATTCAACGTGAAGAAACTGCAAGCTTTTATATTTTCTGGATGACTGCGACAGAACTGGTTTCGTGAAGCCCTCATGCAGTGTCTACTCACTACCCTCTTTCAGACTTATTTATTTGTGTTCCCATCAATGAACAAAAGCAAAAATAATTGGACATTGCACAGAAATGTGCAGGGACCCTCCGTTAACCCCAGAAAATGATACAGGTCACTTTAGTGTGGCAAATAAGGTGAATGATATGTATTATTGAAGAGGTGCTCTGGTTAGTTCCAGTGAGTTTCTTTGTATCACTGCTTTTAAATCACTCTTGTGTCAGGTGGTTCTCAGTGGAAGTATTGACAGGCAGTTTAAGTATATAACAAATATGTCATTTTCAAGACAGTGTCTAAACTATATAAGGTATACATCCGTGGTAATTTTATTTTCCTGACAGTAAACTGTCTCATAAACTGTTACAGATGTTCATGCTACAAGTTCCAATTCTTCTTAAAAGGTTGGAAGTTACTTTGAGAAATAATGTCGAAATTTAGACACCGTAAGAACACTCAAACATTATTAAGTTCTGAAGAGGTAATGAATGAGGTAAAGTGTACAAATGCTGCCCAATTGTGCAAGAGTTGTTGCAGTGCAGTTGATAGATCATGCATCCGTTACTCACGTGGGGTGGACTATATCACAGTTCATTTTGTTAAAGAAGTGTTGGGGATCATGACTTGAGGTTTCAGACTGTATTTCACTCTGAATCTGTATTGCAGTGGCGAAAATTGCATTATTTTTTAAGCACTCTGCTTGCCCTTGGCATAAAATTTGCCAAAAGTGTTGGTCACAGTGTCTCCTTTCACTGTATGGTGTTTAGCTATTAAATTGGAGTGAGAGAACTGGTGTGGAGTTAAACCCATGATGATGACTGTGGGGAGGTCACAAAATGTCACAAGCAGCTGCTACAATATCTGCATCACTGTGAAAAGAGGCTTTGTTGATTGTAACTTTTATACTCAATTATACCCAGGTCAGTTTGCCATTTATCACGTACGTATGCAGTTACTTCAAGAAGTTTTAGTGACTAGAAGTCACCATTTTTAGTGTCATTGTGAGCTTGTAAGTTCATGGTCATTGTTAACTGAGTACTTGGCTGGTGTTCAGTAAGCAGCCAATTTTTTAGAATTTCTTTTCATGTTCATTGCAAAATAGAGCATGTCATCAAAGCTAACTCAGCTGGGATGTCCTAATGATAATGTTTTGCTTTGCTGTGTAATATAATGGACATGTGAAGTGTGTTTGTTCAAGCTGTTGCAATCTATACTGTGTGTGAATGCATGAAGATGTCAATGCTTGCTTATAACGAACTGGTAAAAATTTTATAGCGAGTCTGAAATTTACAACACAAGCGAGTTTTGTTGTACATAGCTTAGTTGCGCATGGTGCCTTAGTTTCAACCATGCAGATTTTTCATGAAAAGGCTATGAGTAACAAACTTGATATCTATGCAGGAGGATTCATCGCTAAGTAAGCAGAACATACCTCGGCACTAGTCATACGAGTTGCAGAACACTAGTGAAAACCTGTCATTGAACTTTTTGGTGGCTCCTTGGAAACAGCTGTTTGTATTCACGCTGAATATCAGTAGTCAATCCTGGTAATATCCAATCCAAAGCCTTGCGTAGTGCTGAGGAGGCTTGTCACCTTACTATATGAGGCGGAAAACACCCCTTGACAAAAAGCACAGAGAGGTACGAAACAAAGCATCATGACGGCAGCTAAACTTGCCATGTGGGACTCTGCTACATTGTGCCATATTAGTGTATTTTCTGCAACGCGCCCTAATTCAAGATTAGTCGTGGTGTGTTCTGCTTACATTGAATGTTGCTGTTTCATTAGGAATATCGGAAGCTTTATGCAGTTTTCAGTATTTTCAGAAAGCACAGGAGTAATAAAATTGTGGCTACTTTCAAGCTGGCTTTATAGACATGAACTTTCATGCCAAGTTAGGTTGTTGCATTTGACTACCTTATTTCTCTGTCTTATCTTTCTTTTGTTGGTTGAGCTACTGCCAGGACACAGTCTCTTTGTTGAAGATTAGAAAAAGTGGCCTTATGTTGTGAATTTTGATGAATTAGCCATGTCTTTAAGCTTCCTGCTTGTCGGATTTCAATAGCATGATGTGCTAATACTCTTTGTATACTTACTTTGGTACATAGGTGCACCAATGCGGTGGACATTCTGGGCATTGTCACTACATTTAGCTTGTTCAGATGTTCTTATTTCAACATTAAGTTGACTTGTTGCATTTGAACAAGCCATTCCTCGAGACAGGTACTATATACTACAGACAAAATGAATTAAAAGCTGCCAAAATTTCATTTTTCTTGTTCATATAAAACCAAGGCAAGCATTCCCTGAACCTTTTCTATGGTCTGGTCAGCAAATGGATTTCGCTGAAGCATTCTCTATTCTGTTACATGTTCTTTCTATCTGTTGTTGGTGCGAATGTGCGGCAACATTGACTAGCCCAAGTTACTGAACCCGACTAGGTGTACTCTGCTGTATGAAATATATATGTGTGTGTGTGGACAGCCGTATACAAGAACAAAGTGCACGGCCTTGGCGGCCCATGTCTATTGTTTTCAAAGTGTTTTGCCGCTGCTGCTGTCTCGGCATCCACTTGTATCAAGGTCTTCCCCCGGCGCATGGTGCCATGTGTGCAGCTGATGCTGGAGTGCTCTCTCGCATGCTCTGCCACTATTGTTGCTATTTTATTAAATAAAGTTTGTTTTGTATGCTACAAAATTAGTCTCCGAGAACGAATTCTTTTGGAGAATCCCAAAATCATGTGGAAATATAGAAAATGTTGCGAATGTTGTGTGCATCAACTGTACATGTTGCTTCATAAAGCTAAAAAGGATGTCAAGCATCGCCAGTGACCTTGACTGACATGTACAGACATGTGGCCTTTTGATGGGCTAAGAAGGTAGATGTGCATGGTGATTCAAATGCGATGTACAGTCAAATCTCGTCGACATGACAGTGCGGAACACGTTTATCTCCCTTATGCATTTTTTTTTTTCGCTGCCAGTCAGCCATATTGGTTAATATGATTTTTGCATAATGCGTTCTACTTTCCGGTTCCCGTGACAACTGTATTAACAAAATTCCATTGTATTCCGAGCACACAACTGTCATCGCCTGATGCGTTTATGATATAGTGGCTATTCGTGGCGCATATTGCGGTTGCTTTAGTTCTGCCAGCGTTACCAGTTGTACAATCTACTTAGCCCACGATGTGATGCCAATCAAAGGCGTGAGCACGGAGGGGGTAATGGCGCCCCCTAATCACCAAAATTGGTGGGGGAAGGATGGTGCAAGGTCTGCCCCATGCGCTTACTCAGTTATGACCATGCAGGTTTTTTATCCATAACGGCGGCTGAAGGGCCCTGATGATTCCAAAAGGATTCCAAAAACATACCCTTCATCTTCAAGAAAGCTAGGGACCAAAGGCTGGCTATTGTCGGAAGCATGTCATTGCTTCATTTTTATTTATTTTTTATCGATTGTGAAGCATGTTCTTCGGACTCTAGCAGTGGGGCAAAGGGTGAGGGGGGGAAGGGGAGGTCCTGCAATGTAACTTTCCCTTAACAGGGTACCCTGTGCAAGCCCCTATCCTGATTGTCACAGCAGGTTGTTAGTACAGTGTAATGCGATGTAGTCTAGTGTGAACGTGCTTTTGTGATGCAGTGCTTTTGGGCACAGTTCTGTGCACCCTTAAATAATCTCGTGAGAGTATGTGGAGGAAAGGTAGTTCATGTGGCGGCGAATGCAAACGATGCTGATTCTGATGGCTCCGATGTTCAGGCTTGCTCTTCATCCGGTATGGGCTTGAATTTGATCCAAGGGCCCTCACGAGGCTCGCACACCATCGAGTAGAAGCGAAGCTCGAGGTTTTCCTGAAACCGTTTGCATCAACCTCGCTTAAATTTTGGCAAAAATGAGTATGATCAGTAATCCTTTGTATCTATTAAACCCTCAGGGACAGCTAAAGCGGAGGTGCATGTATACAGCGCATGCATGACTTCATTGAAGAGCTCTCGGCTCGTACGTCTGCTAAGGAACGCAATCACACACAGCACTTTCCACGGTAGAAAAATGGTTAACAATATTCAGAGCACTTCCACTGATGTGAAAACAAAGACCATCGGCTGCGGTTGCTCGTTTTGCGTCCCCTCCCTGGAGAGTCCGTCGAGCAACTGCTGATTGGGGAAGTTTAACGGTTGTGGAAATATGGTAAGGCAGCACAGTAACGTTTTTCCTTACCCGCTCGTTGTGCTTTTGCTGCTCCCAGTTCCAGTGACAGTGCATCCCCGAAGGACACGGCACATGTCTCGTTAACAATGCATAGGCTGACAGGCACCGATGAGGCGCTACAAGCCCACAGTAATTTTTCAAAAAGCTTTTGTAGTGTTGGGGTGCCCTCACTGGCAAATTGTCAACGACTGGAAAGGGAGGAGCGGTACCATCGTATGGTAGTGTATTTTCATGCCTGTTTTTCCGCAACTTGATAAAACTTTAATTAATAGAACTAACTGACAACGATGCCAATTGTAGACGGGATGTTGTTAGATGCAATGTCACGTGAGTAGCATTATCTAATTTGAGTGGGAAGACGTAACGGGACTTGCTATGTGATTTTAACGAAATGCGTAACGTGACTAGGCTTACGTGATTTTATTGAGAAATTGTGTCGTAACCAGTGCTCAGTTAATTCTGCGTGAGCGTTTCACGAGGCAAGTGTTGGTCATTCTGGCGGTAAAATTGCACATGCCTAGTGTTAAGGAATTTTACGTTCCATCGACAAACAGTATTATTGAATCCCACGCAGCACAAATCGGCGCATGTTTTTTTTGGGTTAGAAGGAGAAGATGAAGAGGATGAAGACAGAGAGCATCGGTTCATGGCTATGCTAATTTCTGTTCGCATTATCTGATGCACTAAAAGGTAAAACAGCTGCACTGTTTAAAAAAAAAACATAGAAGAAGGACTCTTATAAAATCAAAGACCGACACCAGTCTAAAAACAATAAAGGATTGCATACAGGGATATTGTAACCACGAGAACCTCGAAACAAACAACTTTGTGGAAGGATATATGAACGGCCCTCTTTCAGTCAGTAATATTTTTCCACTATTTTTGCACACATGCGATGGACAAACAATTCATTGGGAAGAAGAAGCTTGTCACCAATCGCATCCTGCGGATAATTACACCGAAATCAGTGACAGGAAAGATAAAATATAATTATATGATTATGGTGGGATGCTACTGAAATAACAAGAATGACAGTATCTTTATAAGTGCGGGGAAGCATCACTGGCAACTGCCAACAGGCAACTAAGTGTACGTGTACACACAATAAGCTGCATACATATCGAAGGAATAGCCATTACACGCAGTGCATAAAATTAGGCGAAATTTGAAAAACGGCACCACGTTGAGCGAGTGCACAATGTTATTGACCCGAGGCAAAACAAAACTGAAGTGGTGACATGCTTTTGGGATACGCTGGTGCTAGCGTGATCAACTCGGCCGTAGGGGTAGAATTACAAAAAAAAAACATAGAAGTAGTATAAAATATGTATTGGAAAAGTGCCCTAGTGTGAGGGCGTGTGCTGCTGCGCTCAATGTAGGGGAAAAAAAAAGTAGAAAGGCCTGCATTAGCATAAAACATGACCAAAGACAAACGTTTCAAAGAGAAAAATTCAACGCAATTATCAGCACGCAGATATCAGCTTTCTTGGCCAAGGCGACGTCCCTTCATTCATGTCGTTTCAATTTTATTGTTTTCAACGCATCACATGTCAAGAGAATTAGGTTATGGTTGTAAGGCAGAATGGACTGTTTGTCCGAACAGCAAGGCAAGCGGGCGTGCGCGTAGGTTGAGAGGAAGGACGCAGTCGATGCAGAGTGGTTCTTCCTTACAGCAATGGTGTTCATGTTGGACACCGCAACAGTGCCACACACGCAAAAAATTGGCCCCGTATCTGCATGTTTCACGATGTCGTGAAAGACGACATTGTCTTGCGTCTGGAGAGAGTGAACAAAACATTTATTCGATGTTCTGCGCGAGAAAATCGATGAATTGTACTTTGGAAGCGCTGCGTTTGAGTGTCTGGATGCGTGCAGCAGAGGCGAACGAGCGCATCGAGGCATGCTAAGGTGGTGGTGGTGGTAGTGGTTAGAATGAAGAGGAAAAAGGCACCTAATTTCTGTCTGCCTTCAGGCGACACGGCGCAGTGCCTTATAGGGGTGAAGGGAAGGAGGGATAAAAAGAATAGAAGGAAAATAGACGGAGAAGAAGACAGCCAAGCGAGAGAAAAAAGAAGGAGATAGGAAAGAGGGGATCCGGTCGAAGCAGTCCAAGGGCGGGGCGCCACAATGCGAGAGCTGCACGGCGCCCGGAGACCGCGGAGGGCGAACCAGTCGGCGGGAGCTACGCTGAAGTCGGAGATCGCGAGGGCACAACCGTCCAGCTTGAAATCCTGCGAGCGAATCCATGCCAAGGTCCCTAGATGAAACTTGTTTCATCTAGGGACCTTAAGGTATAGTGTACTAGATTAGGGGTAGTGGTCCGAGGAGCGGCCCCGCGGTGAAGCGTTTCTCCCAGACATACACAGGTGGCGCCACTGCGCCTTTCACCTGGGCACTTCTGCGCGCATTCGCGTCGGATGAATTCTTTCGCACGCCTGAGAAACAGCGTGTTCTCTAACAGAAAAGATTAGAAGGACGGGGAAATGAACAGAATCGCTTCCTTTTTTTTTTCGTTCCGCAAGAACGCAAATTCTAATTAATCTGTTAAGTACACCCGTGAGCAAAGTATACGGACCATGGGAGCGCGTGCCGAAATCGCTGTCTACGCCATTTGTTCGCGAGCCGTCTGCTGTCGAGAGTATTTCTCTGGCGAATTCCGTTAGAGTAATGCTCTCGAAAGCAAACTGCTCGCAAATAAACGGCTTAGACAGTGTCTATTAAACAACAAAACAAAACGAGTGCGGCAGGCGCTCCCGTGGTCCGTATTCTTTTGCTCACGGGTACAGTGTCTGAACTAGCGCCGGTGGTGCAGCTGGATGATCGAAACTTCCATTAAAAATAACGCACGTAATGCGCGCGCACTCTTTGTGACAATATAAGCGTGGTTTGACAGAAAGCAGTTTATTTACATACATATACACAAAAATTCAATGATTTAAGGGTCCTGAACCAAACATCTCAGGAGAAATGAACTATGTACTCCTGCTCAGTTTCAGGTGTTTTGCCCTTTGCCTTTTTGTGGCATTGGAGCTGTTGATGCCTTTCACTAGGAAATGGAGGCGCGTGAGAATGTAGAATGACACAATTTTCTCACTCACTTCTTTACCATGCTCAACGCAGCCTACAGAATTCCTGGGTAAAAAGTTTGCCTTCACTTGCGAGAGAACATCACAAACACTGTTCGCGTGCAATTCGCTCAAGCTAAAGCATTCAGTGAAAATGTTCTCTAGACAGGTGATGAAGTTGTGCAGCTCTCCGGAGGGGTACAACAACCCACCCCAGTCACAGTGCTCAGTGTAGCTAGAAGGAAGGCTCTCAGCAGCAGCTTTTACAGATTCCACAAGTAGATTATCCCTGCACAATGTACATTTCAGCTGAAGCACACATTTTCTAGCCACGTATCCGGCAACATAATATATCAACCTTTCATCACTCTTTTCAACAACAAAGGAGAAATGTTGCGAGCTACCTTTAGCTTTCTCCAGAGATACTTCGGCTTCATCGAGCCTACCCTCCGAAAGCATCTCATCAATTCTTTTGGGCTTCACGGGCACATTTTCTTTGTCATTAACACTCATGAGAGCACTTATCACATCCGGATTTGCATTCGCTCCATTCACACTCCTTGCTAAGTTGTAAAAAGAAAGCAAGTTTACAGTCACAAGAAATTGTTCTGGAGAGGGATGGGCGTTGCAACCACTAGATTGGCGAACAATGCCAAAAAAGTTTTCCAGAGGGTCAGTGCTGAGCCTTGAGGTCATCAGGTACCTATAGCCGATAGACTTGGTGAGGTACTTGAGCAGAAAAAGTGTGCTTGCGATGGTTACTCGGAGACCTGTAGCTGTTGAGTTGCTGAGAAATGCCCCTCCACATGCCTCCCACTTGTTGATATAATCAAGAAAACTGACAAGAGTGGCTTCAGCTGCGGAGTCTGGCCTCAGTGCTTGCGCTGTGAATCGTGAGGTCATGGCAGTGATGAGCTTGTTGATCCTCCTGCAAAAAAAATCAGAACAGCTAATTGTTGCAGCATTCGTTTTAGTTGCGAATAAACTGAACTAAGAAACAACAACTTACGAAAAGAACTCCTGTGTTGCAGTGATGCTGCCGCATACTTTTTCAATGTCTGCTTTATAGAATGTCATTCCTCTCAAAACAGACGTCCCAAACAGTTGGAAGGCCAGACAGACCCTCATCTTCTCGAAGGAGTTGGGATCTAGGTGTGCCTCAGTTAAACCGGGCATCACCTTGAGCGTGCGCACGCTGCAGTCGCGCAAAAATGCTTCACGCACAGCCCGAATGGACACCTGTAAAGCGAATAAAAGAGGGAACATGTGAGTTATGTAAGGCATGGTCGTAATTTCAGCAGCCCTAAACATTTGACTTACATGACCATCTGGTGTTGTGAAGCCAGTCTTGTGTAGTCCGTTTCTGAGGCATTTGATGAGATGGGGAAAATCCGACACAAAATGCAAGGCTCTTTTGCTGTCGACAGGATGCTCCGTCTTGCACACAACCTTTTTTGCAGAAGCACACACTCCAGCCAATTGCCACATCTTTCGATTCCATGCGGCCCCGTCACATGAAATGTGGTCCACAAACAAGCCAGCCTTTTCAGACACTATCACTGCTTCGATGATTATCTTGAAAAGTAAATCTCCTTTTATGTTGCCTTTGGTGGCGAAAACTCCTATTATTTGACTCCATTTTCCTGTGAAGGGGACGAACATGATTACCATGCCATGGTCACATGCCTGGTGTTTGTGCTCAGGTCTCGTGAAGGTCCCAAGGTCCACAAATCCTTGTATGTGGCCTGATGACATGACATTGAAGTGCTGCGATAGCTTGAGCTCGTCAACAAGCAGGCCGCCATGCCTTTGGAATGGAGACATAGTGCTGGTTTTCTTTTTTAATATGTCCATTGATCTGATATTAAAACCGAATGATGACCTGTACGTCTTTGTATATTTCTGCAGTGTTGTCTTACATGGCAGAACTAATATATTGTGCTTCCTAATATGCTCATAGAGTATAGGACTTTTCATCTTCATCAAATGCACTCCAGAATCCATTCTTGACTGTAAATCATCCCCTTTCGGCTGGCCCTTTTCGACGCTGCAAAGCATTGGCGCACACTTTCTTGCTGTTTAGGTGGCAAGCGAGATATGCTTTCCTCGAGCACTTCAGCTCTTATACTTGCACACTGGGCCCTCATGTCATTCAGGCTGGCAGTAAGGCTGATTAGCCTAGCACGAGCACGGCGGTTCTTCTGACTCAGAAGTCGAAGCTTCTTGGCAGGCGTGACCTGCAGCGTTTTTCGTTTCAGCTCGCTCCGCCTCGTCAGTAGCGCCTTCCTAAGGTACTTGCACGATATGCATGGAGTTCCTGTGAAGTAAAACACTTGCATGAAACCAGGTGCGAGGGAAAAAAGTTCTGGCATTGCTACCTTTAGTGAAAGGCTCTTTACAATTACTACCTGTTTCACAACAGCAAGCACAGGTGCGGGTATTATGCAATCGAGGACCCGAAAATAGTAAACGAAAACAACTGTGCTTATTAACTTATGGGGCTTTATGTTCCAAAATCAGTACAGGCAATCCGTAGGGGAGGGCGCCGCAAATTTGACCTCCTGGGGTGTACCATGCATATTCATAATATTTCAAAGTATAAAATTAGTTTCTTACCTTCTTTAGGCACACTTCCTCTGCATTTGACACTGAAGACAATTCCATCCAAGTTGACTATCTGTTGCTTTAGCCGACTCGTAAGCGGCAAAGAAGAAAACTCCGGTGGTTCGCCTGCTCCTTTACAAATGTGCAGCAAGTCAGCATCACGTAACACCTGCTGCGCTTCTTCCACGGTGCGCGAGAACGATTCCGATGTTAGTGTGCGGCGTACATACGTCCGGCACACAACGTCGCCTTGCGTACTTCCAGAGTTCATGAAAACAGTCTTTTCTACCACGACAGCATGAGATTCGCTGTTGAAAGACGCCTGAACATAAGCAGCACCATCGTAATTGGCAAACTTGTGGGCAGCCCAGTGCTCCGTCGGTGGAGGCACATTCCATAAATCAAACGGCGTGACCTGTACGTCGATAGCCGGTCCGTCTGTTTGAAGCTCATTCTCTTCCAAGAATGGTTTCTTAGATGAGCCACAATTTGCTGGTTCTGCGGATGCCCGTTTCCGCGGGGGTCTTTCGCGTACTGGCGGTTTAGACAGGTATTTGGGAGCATTTGGCAGAATGGTCGGGACTGCGTCCGGTGAGAGCGACGGTTTTCCACGCGGTATTCTTACTTCTCTGCCACCAATGACATGAACATAGTCCCGGAGTATGTACTTTTCTTCAAAATGGAGTTCACACACAGCGTCAGATAGTTCCAGAGGCTTATCAGCACGGTGAAGGTTCCGCTGCCAAACACCACGCCTTTCGTCGTCCTCGGGGACACCAAACAACGACAGCTTCGGCGCGTTCTTCACGCCGCTGTACCCAGTTCTGCAACCGGGGGCGAAGCAGTAGTTCTTCCGACGAGGCTTCGTCATGTCCTTTCAATGGCCAGTGATAAAAGCATCGAACTGAATTTAAAAATGCAGCGACTAAACACAGAAGAAAGACTGAAGTGAGAGCGGCGACAGCCTACAAGCGAACTCGGCGGCGGCGGAGCGGCGGCAGATCCCAGGTGAAAGGCTCTGTGGCGCCACCTCGCGGCCACGAGTTTTTTCTGGATATTCTGCTTCCGACGCGCGCCTTGCCAGCGGCGCTCCTCGGACCACTACCCCTAATCTAGTACACTATACTTAAGGCATGCGAGACACGAGCGCAATCTGGCAGTCATCTCCGAAAATGATGGCGTGCGCGCCAGTCTCGGAGTCGATAAGGTGTAGAACGCAAAGCGACGGGTAGGCACCACCACCGCGTTGTCTTAGCAAAGCTGGGGAAATGGTAGTATGTAGGTGTTCTGGGGCTATGGGGCATTGTAGTTACCCTAGCAAAGCGTTGGGAACGCTTGCCTTTTTGTGCATAGCGTTGCATTGTCAGCGCGGCGTGAGAAACGCTATGGTCCTTAGAATTACTTATGTATGCCTTCTCTAGTACAAAGAGGCACATAGAGAATATTTACATGTTATTATGCCTCAGATATGCTCACTAATTGCTTTTTAATAGACAATCGCACAAGTATGGACGCTGAAACTTGAGCAATATTAGCGGCCGCTGCGGATGGTGTTGGATTTTGGCCAGACAGACGGTCAGACCAAAATGTTTGCGTCGAAGTACCCCACGTATCTCAAGAAATACTATCGTTTTTAAAAAAAAGAGCGTGAGCGAGAGAGCCGAGGCAAGAGAAAGCGCGAACGTGTTGTGCGAGTTGCGCTCACCTTCTGCGAAGGGCCAGGCTCGAGGCTGAAGCGTTCCACAATGCGACCCACCGTGTAGATGATCTCGATAAGCGCAAGCCTCTTGCCGATGCAGTTGCGGGGCCCCTGACCGAATGGCTGGTACGCCATGCCGTGCTGTTGGGCCACATTTTCCGGCAGGAATCTGCGCGGAAAAAGGGTCGTGACACTTGACTATCTGGAAAGCGTGAGGCGTATAGCTTTATACGCCAAGACCAACCTCTCATTGAGCCTTAACAGCAAAGAAGTGTGGTGGTTTGGGCTAGTTGGTAGGACATGATGATAGTTATAGCGCGAGAACAAAAGAATGGCAAAGAGACAAGAAGGAGACGGGTGCTCATCTCCTTCTTGTCTTTGTTTGTTTAGATATCCTACACCTTTAATTATTACCTATATTATCTAATGAATTGAACCCTTCCTTTCAAGAAGTGAATTAACTTAAAAAGCAAGGCACCGTCCCATTCATGGTCTATTCCCCTAGGTGGGTGGCGCCAAGTTGTTGATGGACTAACCAACCAACCAACCATTTGCCGTCGTTCTGTTCCGCTGTCACGGGTCCCGTTAATTCGGGAGGCGATCGCCGGGCTAATTCCAAGGGCCGAAGTATCGGCCCCCCGAACCGCACCACGAAAGCGTGGACAATTTAGAAGTGGTCCTATTTGGCGCGCCAGCGGACGCCGGCTGTGGTCCAAAGAACAAGTCAGAGCCGAGAGTTGATAAACAAAACAAAATTATATTCTAAATAATGGCAGAGCAAAAAGAATACACAAGTATGCACACTCAACAATAGTTGAATACAAAATGTCACCCATCAAACAACGTACTACACCGTACAGTACGCCACACTCGAAACAACGGACATAGACAACAATACGCACTACAATGCAGTCGTATGCATTGAACAACCAAGACACTTAAAGACTAAAGAGGTAGGAAACCTATTCAGTCCAAAGTTCTTGGAACAAAAGTCTGAATGATACTCTTCCGAGAATCACTCACTCAAAGTCCAGCGTTGTTGTCGTTCCGCTGCCCCCGAAGTTTCTCTTCCAGGAAACATCGACTGCCCCCGAAGTTTCTCTTCCAGGAAACCTCGCGTTTTCACTTGGCCGCTCTCCAAGCTTCAAACTTCTTCGCCGGAAACACGTCGGATTTACACACGCAGCTGTTGCCACGCGTCTTCGCTCGATAGCGGTAGACACACGCTCTTGTCTGTAGCTCGAGTTTTAACCCCTCAGGTGGAAATCCTCTTCTTCTGCTGCTTTGTCACTACGGACAAAACCTTCGCCGACTACACGGCGGGATACCCTACGCGCTCTGGCGCTAACTTCCGTCTTCTCCTGATCTCCCATCTCGGCTGCTCGATTAAATACCTTCCGCGTGAGATTCCAGAAAGTTCTCATCATTTCATCGGCGCGATACGCAGCGAAGGCTGGGGAGAGGGCGAGACGGTTTGAAGGCCGTCCGCGTCGGATGACTCAACCCGGCATTATCACGTCTTTTTCCTTCTAGAAATTTCGAGTGCTTGCTCGGCCGCCAATGTGGGGTGAGGAGGTTCGTCGGCGAGCCCACGCTTCCGAGGGAGAGAGTCGCGCGCCCGGGAGTCTTTGAATGTTTGTTTTCTTTTCTCCTTTTTTTATCGTTGACCTCGTGGCGTCACTCCGGTGTTTCGTCGCGAGAATTTGGCGGCGCGCTCTTTTTGAGCGCTCGTTCTGTGACACTGCCCCCCACTTTAAGAATATTATCTCATAATATTTAAAACCACACAAACGAGCGCGAACAGTCACCACACAGCCTGAAAGACTGTAACACAGACCGTCGCTCATGCCACTTCACATTCACAATAGATCACTCAATACAACTGTACATTGCAATTCAATCTCACAACACATAGAATATAGCCACAGGTACATGAATACAATACTCCATCACATATTCTAAACAATACAAATATACGAAGTTCTCTCATTACCACAATTGTACAATACTATACATCACATCACCGCAACAAACATTTTGATTCGCTCGACATACAGTTGTGACACGGGATAACAAGAACATTAACACAACATATGGCCTCAGCCCTGCCAAACACATTACGATTCCACCTCAGCACCTATCTTGTGTATTTCGAGCTGCGCTTGCGTCCTTTCTTGCGGTGCTCGCTCGATCTCTTCTTGTTTTTCCTCGTTTTCTTCCAGCGATCCCTTTCCAACGACGGTATCTGAGGCGGCGTCTCAGCCATCGTTGTCACTTCCGACACTGTTAACGGGTGATAACGTTCAACCGATCCTGTTCGGTTATTCACCCGCTTGTTCATGTCACGACATTGTGCCTGACTGGCCGACTGCGTCATCCTTACATTGTCGGTCAGTTGAGGTCGAGCCGACGTAAGTCCAGCTGCCCAGCACGTGAACTCATTCAACACGATCATCTTCTCATTCACTGTCTCTTGCAGCGCGGCTTCACTTTGGGCTCGAGTGAGATCCGTCACAGAATGCTCCTCCACTGTGTCTCGCGGTCGCTGGGTTGGCGAGGGCTCTATCTTAGGGTATTCTCCCAATAGTTCTGGATCATTCGGCCCTCGCGCCCCGTCGATGTTTCCGATGACGAGGTCGTAAGGGGGGTCGTCATGCATAGAGCAGTAACCTTCCCGCTGAAGTACGGGGTTTCGACCTCAATCTCTGCTTCGGGAAGCATCCGAACCGTACTGTCAATTAGACAAACCGGTTTCGTTTTGCCGGTTAACTCACTTTCCCGTAACAAATTTCTCCGCAAGATAACCATGGAGCTGCCGGTATCTCTTAACACCGTAACCTTCTTGCCCGCAACTTTTCCAGGCAGCGTTGGCATTCCCTTCGTAACACCGGTTGGCTGTTTTGTCATTACAGCACCCACAATAGGAAGTTTCTCCCCATTTTTCAACTCTACGAACCCGTAGGTGACGGCATTATCATCGGATCTCGGTGCTGCTAGCACACAGGATACCTGGTGAGTTTGACTCGCTCCGTTATGACATGCGTCTGCTTTGTGCCCAGTCTGACCACACTTGAAACATTTTACTACCGTAGGGCTCGTAAAGTTAGTACGACAGTTGTTCGCGCGATGACCCACTCGGTTACACAGAGAACATCGCGGAATAGTCTCCGGTGCACGCTTCTTTGGTTCGGGTGCCGAATTTGTCGAGTCTTCGGGACACTCCTTCGTGATTTTGGCCAAATTGGTGCCACCTTGCGCTTCCAAGAATTGATCGGCTAATTCAACCATGTCTTCAAGTGACTTAGCTCTCCTCTCTTTCAAGTACAGCGACAGACTTGGGTGGCAACTAGTAAGAAATTGTTCTCTAATTAGGAGCTGTCCAAGTTCATCGTACTCCGGCGCTGTCCCTGAAAGTTCAATCCATCTGTCAAAATAATGGCCAAGTCTAGCGGCATACTGCGTAGCCGTCTCACCATCAGCTGGCTTTCCTGTCCGAAATCTGTCCTTGAATCTTTCCACAGTAAATCTAAATCGCTTCAGTAAAGCAGCTTTCACCTTTGCATAGTTGGCTGCATCGGTCGGCGTCAGCCTACCGTACACACTGAGCGCTTCACCACTCAAGCAAGTACTCAAAGCAGTTGCCCATTGATGTTCTGGCCTATTCTGGCTCCTCGCAATCGTCTCAAATCGGTGAAGGTACGCGTCAAGGTCGCCCTTCCTTTCATCAAACGCTACGAGCAGCTTGCTTGGGTTCAAGCGGAAGCCGTGGTCCTCCCGTTCGCTGCTTTCAACTCTAGCTTGGACCGGAGTCTCACTTCGCTGTTGCAAACGGAGCCGCTCGAGTTCCATCTCGTGCTGCCGCTGCCGTTCCCTTTCAACCATCTCCGCTTCTCTTTCTTCTTTCAGCTGTCGCTCCTTTGCTTCTCTTTCTTCTTTCAGCTGTCGCTCCTTTGCTTCTCTTTCTTCTCTCGCCCTTTCAGCTGCCAACTTTTCTCTCTCCAGCTCCAACTTCAATTGCTGCTCTCTTTCTTCTCTCAACTGTCGCTCCTTTGCCTCTCTTTCTTCTTTCGCCATTTCAGCTGCTAACCTCCCTCGTTCTAACTCAGCTGCTTTTTCTTCCTTGGCGCTTTCAGCTGCCAACCTCTCTCGTTCCAACTCAGCTGCTTTTTCTTCCTTGGCCCTCTCAGCTGCCAACCTCTCTCTCTCCACCGCCTCTTTCTCCTTCTGGCTTACCCCCTTCCGTAGTTCGGTGCCAGAAAGACCCATCTTCTCACCAAGAGCTACTAACTTTTCGAGATCCATTGTGTCTCGCAAATGAAGTCTTGCCGGGTGAAAAAAGTATCTGCCTAAATCAGTCTATCGGAACACTCCCCTGCATTCGTTATCGAGAACACTGAGCAACACACAAACTCGTTCCGGTAGCACTATCAACAACTCGAGGCTCTTTCTCACTACTTTGGACACACTGTGCACCAAAAGGTCCTTGTCGTGGACGCCACAATAATTGTCATGGGTCCCGTTAATTCGGGAGGTGATAGCAGGGCTAATTACGAGGGCCGAAGTATCGGCCCCCCGAATCGCCCCACGAAAGCGTGGACAATTTAGAAGTGGTCCTATTTGGCGCGCCAGCGGACGCCGGCTGTGGTCCAAAGAACAAGTCAGAGCCGAAAGTTGATAAACAAAACAAAATTATATTCTCAATAATGGCAGAGCAAAAAGTATGCACACTCCACAATAGTTGAATACAATATGTCACCCATCAAACAACGTACTACTCCGTACAATCAGCCACACTCGAAACAACGGACACAGACAACAATACGTACTACAATGCAGTCGCATGCATTGAACAACTGTAGCGATCAAGCTATGCCTGGACCCAGCGGGTCATTCGCCACGCCGGATTAGTGCCAAAAGGATAGTCTCGCCACGGCTGGACTGAGGAAGCAACAAGGGCCGACTACATGAGACGGCGCCCACTGATTGACAGCGGCGCCAACTGTGTGGAATGTTGCCAAAGAGGGCTATGGAGCCGCCGCTCTATCTCCCGCCTGGGCCACGCATCGTTAGCGCGTTAACCAGCAGACGACGACGGCGCTGGTCAAAGGGCTCTCCCCAGAGGATTGATTCCACGAACCTGGCACCCCTCGAAAGGGCGCGCTAAGATCTTCCCGTGGGAACGCAGCGCGATGCCGGCATCAAAGGGGTAGAGGCGCCCGTGCGTCTTCAGCTCTCCGCCTCCCTGTTCCACGGCAGCGCTGCAACTAGTGGCAAGGGTGTGTGTGTATGTGCAAGCCAGTGTTGTGCCTCTATGAACATACATGACGGGCGGTACTTCACTGAGAGGAACTTCCACATCACCATTGGTCCGCATTGTTTTGTGTAGTGATCCCCAACCTAGGGACCTAGGGAACGGTGGTCAACAAAAAGGGCGTGCAGCGCCTCGCCCAACTCTCTTCTCTTCTGTCTTCGTCTCGATAACTCACTGTAAAGATGTAATATAAAAGAGCTCTTTCCTAGTCCTTGGCTCGACGGAGCGACGGCGACCGGCCCCGCTACCTGCAGACTGCGGTCGCCACGACGCACAACACAACCAAGACACTTAAAGACTAAAGAGATAGGAAACCTATTCAGTCCAAAGTTCTTGGAACAAAAGTCTGGATGATACTCTTCCGAGAATCACTCACTCAAAGTCCAGCGTTGTTGTCGTTCCGCTGCCCCCGAAGTTTCTCTTCCAGGAAACCTCGCGTCTTCACTTGGCCGCTCTCCAAGCTTCAAATTTCTTCGCCGGAAACACGTCGGCTTTACACACGCAGCTCTTGCCACGCGTCTTCGCCCGATAGCGGTAGACACACGCTCTTGCCTTTAGCTCGAGCCTTCACCCCTCAGGTGGAAATCCCCTCCATCTCCTGCTTTGTCACTACGGACAAAACCTTCGCCGACTACACGGCGGGATACCCTACGTGCTCTGGCGCTAACTTCCGTCTTCTCCTGATCTCCCATCTCGGCTGCTCGAATAAATACTTTCCGCGCGAGATTCCAGAAAGTTCTCATCATTTAGTGGGTGCGATACGCAGTGAAGGCTGGAGAGAGTGCGAGACGGTTCAAAGGCCGTCCGCGACGGATGACGCAACCCGGCATCACCACGCCCCTTTCCATCTAAAAAGTTCCAGTGCTTCCTCGGGCGCCCATGAGAGGAAGTTCGTCGGCGAACCCACGCTTCCGAAGGAGAGAGGCGCGCGCCCGGGGAGTCTTTGGATGTTTGTTTTCTTTTTTTATCGTTGACCTCGTGGCGTCACTCCAGAGTTTCGTCGCGAGAATTTGGCGGCGCACCCTTTTTGAGCGCTCGTTCTGTGACATCCGCGCTATAACTTTCATCATTAACAGCAATTGCTGTTTAGCAAATTGTGTGAGTCGATCGCAGAGAGCTATCATGATAGTTATAGTATATGTGTCCGTCGGCAACCTGCCAGATAAATCCCACTATTCATCACCATTCCACAAAAATAAACAAGGCAACGGTTAGCCCAACAAAGGACTGCGAAGAGTTGGCGGCGAGCCGAAGGCTCCAAGTATACTGTACGTACGAGAGTATACGTACAAGTACGTAAAGGAAGTATGATGATGCCCCTTCTTTTACGCTCGTTGCGCTTATGCCGCTTCCAGCTGTATAGTGACAGTGTCCCCTGATCGACAGGTGCCTCATGAACAGTGGGGACGCTTACAGGCAAAATTGAGGCATGACGACCACTTCACTGTGATTTTTGAAAAAAAAGGTAGCATATCCTCGGGGTGAACGATGGAAAGTGGGGCGAAGCATCCGTCCGTTCATTCGTTCTTGCTTCCGTCCGTCCATGCGTCCATCTGTGTGACCATCCGTGGGGTCCATCCGCCCATCCGTGCGTGCGTATGTTCGTTCGTCCATACGTCCGTCTGTGTGACCGTCCATGCGTCTGTTCGTGCGCCCGTCCCTGCGTTCGTTCATGCATCCGCCCCTGCGTCCGTTCATGCGTCCATCCATGCATCTGTCTGTGTGTCCGTTCGTCCATCTATTGAACACTCCAAGTCCCACCATCTCGCATCTTTTTATCATATATTCCCCATATAGAAGCACCGCCATTCAGTGGACATTCCAAGGACTAAAGGAGATGTGGCACACGCACACTTTCTTACGGTTTGTGCTTCTTGTCTACTTCCCACCTTTAACCACCTCGAGTTCATGGTATATACTAGTTCACTGTATTCATGACACTGCGGCCGAACGCTCGCTAAACCTTTCGAAAACCAAGGAGGTTACGCCCAGCGAGTATGACGTAGCAAACTTTTTCAGTCAGAGAGTGCTCAATGTAGATGCCAATGGCTGCTAATGGGAAATGAGAGGCGGAGAATTCGGCTTTTACTTTCTTACGGCTTGCGCTTTGTATATTCTTCCCATTTTTAACCACTTCGAGTTCATTCATGGTATATACAAGTTCATTGTATTCATGACACTGCGGCCCAATGCTCGCTAAACCTTTCTAAAACCAAGGAGGTTATGCCCAGCGAGTATAACCTAGCAACCCTTTTTTGTCAGATAGTGCTCAATGTACATGCCAATGGCTGCTAATTGGGAATGAGAGAACTCAGAATTCGGCTTTTAGTTAACGCGCACGCTGCGAATTTTTCATTGTTCAACAACACATAGGAGAAATGTCCCACCGGCACCACCTTGCAGGTCAAAGCGTAAGACTGGTTACGTACTACGACTACGACGAGGGACGAATGGGTGCTGCTTTAAGGAGCTTCGCCCCTAAAAAAGTTGGTTTTCTCAGTTTAAAAGCGTTGTGGACATGTTCTTATTTAGGGACGGCTTATTGCTCTCCCATAGTTGAGTACCAAGTACTCGAAATCATTAAACATTTTTTTTTCTTAAACACAAAAGTTCTGTGGTATTGGGGTGCCTCCGTGCACCGGGTCAAACGCTCGGTGACCGGGAAAGGGGCGGTACCGTCATACAATAGCTTAATTGCGTACCGTAGTTATGTAACTTGCTAAAGCTCTCTACCAACTTCGCGTGCTGACGCTCATGTTGATAAACCGAGTGATACTGCATTGAGTCGTCATTGGCATAGGCTGACAGCATACAACATGACACGGGTTCCGCATCAGTCATTCCTTCTTCCCCACAACAAGCCGCCATAGCAAACCCTTCGTTCCTATTTACTCTGGAGTTTGGATAACGTCGTATCTGTGAATGTCTGGTTTAACTCGAACATCTATGTGCTGTAGAAGCAGACAGTCTTCAGAGTAGTCCAGTTTTTTTTTTGTGTGTATGTGTCAAGCCTTGCGCGGCTTGTTGCAAGCGATCACCATTTGTTTTTTAGATGCGAAGTTGAATCCGGTGTGCGTAACCCACCTTACTGCGCATGCGCAACAGCTGGCCCCCGGCACTACCCGAACGCGCTCACGCGCTAGCGCGTTCCAGCCTGTGTAACGGGCTGGGTAGGACGCTGTACCCTCCCCCTTACACCCTCTCAGCAATCACGTGATGGCATTGGGGAACGAGATTCTGAAGACGCGCGATGACCCCACGTGCTCCCGCATGGCGCGCTCCAACAAAAGTTCGGGGCACGCAGCAGCAGCAGAAACTACAGTGAATTTATGGTGTGCTCCACTATCAAGGGCGCGTTAACACCGGCCACGGTGCCCGTGGTTAATGGAACTTCAAGTCGACCCATGCGCTGCTTCGCATGCTACTCGACTATCAGGGGCGTAGCCAGGGGATAGCACACCAGACACGTGTCCCCCCCCCCTTCCCCACCGCCAATTTTTTTTTCGCCATAGCATAGAAAGCAAAAGTGACCATTTTAAGGGGGTGCCTCTCCCGAAATCAAGGGGACAGGGTGAACTCACTCAAGATAAGCGTTGGGATTATCTATACCACGGAATAATGCCCTCTCCTACATCTGACGTTCTAAACTTCTGGAAAAACAAACAGTAACTATTCCAAGCTTGATATGCGTTTGCGAAAAGATATATTGGTAATTGCGCCTAGTGCGAGCCAAGAACAGACCTTCAGTTAGACGGGATATGCGACGCAAGAGCGCCGCACTTCACTGAAGCCTGAATCATTTGGACAGCTTATTTTGCAGGACAACTCTTCATCGTTGTATGTGCCGACTTTCAGATGTGTCGTTTGCTTACGTTTCACTTTGTTATGTTGAATAATGTGCCACATTATTGGAAAACGACATCTTGCCTCCACAGAAAAAACTTCATATTGTCAGTATGGATGGGGCCGGACCCGGGCCTTTGTTTTCGTACGCCGGCCTGGGCCTGGCGGTCTCACAGCCCTCTATAGTATCGAACGGCTCTTAGGCGCAATCAGCGGGCCCGGGCCGGGCTCTCAAAATTCAGCCCGCGCGCAGCTCTATAACTTTTTTGGGGGCTATTGCCCCTTTTGCAGCCCCCCTACCAATACCCATGGGCTCAGGTCAAGGGATGTTCCGTACCTATCAGGATCGAAGCGTTCAGGTTCGGTCCATGCTTTGGGATCCTTCTGAACTACCATGGTAGGAGACATGATGCTCAGGCCGGCGCTGTACTTCACTCCTTTGTACTCAAAGCCTTCTCGCGCAGACCGGGTGGTGAACCTGCAGTCGAGTATAGCACATTGTTAAACGACGCGGTTCAACATAGGTGCCTTACAGGTGGGGTCTTAGATGAATCATACGCACGAAACTACCACAGGGAATACACGTAATGTCTCGTCCACCACGCAGGACAGGTACTTGAGGCCCTGCGCCACCGCCGTGTAGTCCAGGGTGCCCTGCATCGACATTACTATAGTGGGACAAGGAACAACAACTGTCTTTAGATGGCTTCACATATAAGTTCGTACGGAGTGATGTATTGCTCTATAGGGCGGAGTCTTAAACTGACATCAGATAGCGGGTCGCAGTGACAAAACTTTAAAATTTGGTATCTGCAGAGGCCGGGGCCGTGACGAAAGATAAATCAAAGTTGGAGAGTTGTTTGAGAAAGATGTCGACTTTTGTCGTCCTTTAAATGAAAGCAGGCTTTACTTATATCCTATATGTGAGTCATTTCTGAAAGAAATGCGACATCGGAACTGAAAGGTTATCGACATTTAAACTCCATTATAACGCCGAAATCTCAATGGAAAGTGCATGCAGATTATTTTAATGAAGGTGAGAAATTATACCGTGGTAAGTCTTAAAATGTTCATTCCTCAGAAACCACATAATTCAAATTTGTCATAAATATATGAATGATACCTAAGCTTAAAGAAATAATGATACTGCTTATACGATAAAGGTAATATGGGAATATGCAATTCAGGTCCAAGCCAGATAATTACCAAAAGCAAGATGGTAAACTAAAGAAAAAATCGCCGTAGATAGCATTCTGCAGAAATTGTAGAAGTAAAATTTGAAGTTTGCTTTTCAGAATGCTTTTTTTGTTGCTATTTTTTCACGGGAGCTTGGAAAACTACTTGTTTTGATAGGGCGGCCTTTTATAACTAATCACAGGAACATCAATGTCAAGTAGCTTTTCTATTTCGGCCGGAGAGCTCATGATAATGCACATTTGACACAGCCACCACGGGCTCTAAACATAACTGTAACCATTTTCCCGTTTAAACTTCTATTGTCAAGAAACTACATAAATTCAACTCTACAGCACAAGTGAGAAAAAAAGTTGCTAAACTTTAGTAGAGAAGAAACCCACGTTTGTCGATTAGCGTTTCCTTTCAAATTTGTTTACTATACTTCTTTAAAAGCTTTTTTTTTTGTTTTCAGTGAGAAGCAAATGCGAGCACACCAGATGATGAAAACACTATATGCACTTACATATTTTTTCCTGACTTGCTTCACTTCATCCCTGACTCTCTCCTGGATGTCGGGGTGATTCGCGAGCATGTAGCACACGAAGCTCAGAGCCACGGAGGTCGTCCCAAAACTGGAACGGGACAGCAGAGTGCATTTAGTAGGACCATGCCGCCATCGTCGATACTGTCCGGTTAGGTTTTGTTGTCTTGGGTTTAAAAAAACCCCATTAGGAGCAAGAATTTTCGGATAAGCATGCGTCAGTTGCACGTTCGAAATAATCGGGCTGTCAAACGAAGAAAAAAATTAAATGGGCGAATAGGAATATGAAACTGTAAAAACGAGAAATTACAAGTATCACAGTTTGAGAAAACAAAGAACAAGAGCCTATATGTTCCAGAGGGGTCGAACCCATAACCTTTAGGACATACGCAGGCCTTAAATAAGGCAAACATTATTCCATAAACACAGTTTTGTTTTAATGAACACGCCTTAAAAGCTGGTTTCAATGTGCGCTGGCATGCTATCGCAGGGTGAGCTAACGCATTCATTGCGTGTAGAGTCCCTCCCGGCAGCCCCTTTTGCGTCTTGGGCTGTAGCGATTCTCGCAATGTTTAGCCGCTTGATAGCGCAGCCGACTGAGGCCGCACTAGCAAACTGCAGTGGTATATGTGGGCGATCTAATTTCATCCAGAAGCACATTTGGTTTTAAATTTTAATGCGTACAAGGTTCCGTTAATTTTGACTCTCGAACATTTGGACCGACCAACTGACTGTGACAGGGCGTCTCTTAATCTCTCTCTTTCTCTCCCCCTCTCTCTTTCTCTCTCTCTCTAACACACACAAATACACGTGTGACAGCACACACGTGCACAAGATGAACAAGAAGAAAAAAAATTAAATATTTCAAATGCATGATATGAAGTGAAGGTTAACACATCACAGTTAGTTGTAAACAGAGAACAAATTTAAATTCCACCCGTGGAACCATGGTGCTATTGCACTTGCCAAAGGCCACAGCAGGTCCGTGCCAGCTGATATTTTTCGAAGCGTAATTACTTCATATCCACGAATGTGCACGTGCACTAAGCATACTAAAAATTCGTTTAGATGCTGCTGTCGAGGTCTCTGATTACGTTTACCGGAACATTGTTTTGGCATAAAGCCAACTACACACATGCTTACATGGCAAAATTAACGATTTTGAAAACGCGGAAGTCTTGGCATCCCTAAAATGAGCAAGCGCAATACAATTTGTGCACGTTTGTTTTTGTTGCTCGTAGAGCAACGACTCAGAGCAGCACTTACGTATTTGACTTTACACTGTAAGCGACTACTGTACAAAAGCGCGATACTGAACACTACGCCATAGGCGTGGTCGCAAAGAATACTGCTGCTGAGGTAATTACGCCTCTTCCTGTTTGAAAAAGTCAGTAGCATGTTAAATTTGAAGGCGGAAAAAACCTCTGTGCACTTACTAGTGTGTTGAGCATGACCTGACGTCATCTCATGACTGCACAAACTGCTCGCTCTCCAGACGCCATGCTCACTCGGAGGAGCTCGCGCGGGTGCTTGCAACGTACCACATCTTGTGCCGGTAGTGTTTCACTGAACATCACCGAACAACGGCCCATTTGAGGATTTCGCCTTTGCTTCTGCCTAAGGAAAAAAGGCTTGGAGGTATGGAGCCTTCATGTGCGTGCCTCCGTACGAGGCGCGCTGATCAAGTTTCTCTGCTTAAAGGCCTCACAAAAAGCCAAGCTGACCGTCGGCGTCGTTATCATGAGCTATGCGAAAAACAATCTTTACGTGATGACATCACCTTATGATGTCTCCTGACGTCGTGCGACACGTTATTGGCGTGATTGCACGCCATCGTAGCTTTGACAAAGGTTCTCCGATCACAGGCCAGGAAAAATCAGTTGAGGTGCCTTTAATCCCAGAGGCAGTGAAAAACAACGTTAGGCGCTGAAGGCTTTCGGTGGGTGGCCTGGCAAGGTCAATATATCGACTGAGAGAAGATTGCTTTCGCTTTTGCTGTCGTCTATAGGTGAGTGTCTATGGGACCGTGTGAGTTTTGTACACCACGCTGCTAAGGTTTTCGTCTTAGTAATCAAATTGCCTCGTTATCCTTGTGCAGGAATGCGAATATTGCCTTGGCGGCGTTTTACAGACTGAGAGATGAGTGCCGCATACTCACGCGAATAATCGCGATAAATATTTACACAGGCTGCGCGTTATCTTACCCAGCGATTAGAAGCATTGCCGTGTTTACAGAGAGTTCCGTCGAAGACATCTTCTTGTCGACTTTCAACTGACCTGAAACGAATAAAAATAATTGCCGTCAGTTTGCACTAAGGTCGCGCAAAGCTTCGCTCAGCAAAGCACCAGGGACGTCGCCGTTCACACTCATCGTCGTTGAGCGACACATTCAGCTTCAAGGTGTGTGCTGCTTCTTCCTCGGTCTGCGCTTACGCTTTAATCTCCCCTTCCCCTTTCTCTCCTCCTCACCCTCGCATCTCTCCTCACGCTCACTTTCCTTTTTCATCCCTTTGCTGCACCATGCTATACAATGTTTAGATAGCCGGAAACGTCCATTAAGTAGATATACATTCGGATCACTGTATTGTGTTGTACAACCAATGGACGGGGCACATGAAAGGTATCCACACAACCAAGCGTCAACTTTCAACAATAAATTTTTACTACTTTTTCTGGCAGCATAAATGCATAAACATGAGGAAGAAAAAAGTGCCGCCACATCCACGAAGTGAATGATGATGAGTGGGCGAAGCTCCGGAGGTAAACCTGGTAAACCATGAATCCTCCGTACATTTTGCCCACTCGATTTTATTGCAACGCTCCCCCTAGCGTACGTCGCCGCACTAAATCGAACGATGACGCGCGCCATACGTGGTATCATTCCTATTTTATAACACCTCGCATCTTTCATAATCAACTACACGTACCGCCGTCTAGTTTATAACATCTTGCACTTTTCATAATCAGTTACAAGTACCACCATCTAGTGAATGCTGCAAGAACTGAACGAGAGGTGGCTACATACAGGGGACGCAAAGCTTCCACCTTAAGGAGCTTCGCCCCTAAAAGGCATCGAATGAAGATAGCCGAGAGGAAACAAACAACTCGCAATGATTTTACTGACGTGAAAAAAAAAGAAAAAAAAATATGCACACTATTCTATGACGCGAAGAAACTCTCTTGCATAGGTCGACTGATGCCATGCGAATACGCATAAGTCACCCAGGTGCGCGATTTCGCCTGCTTCAATTTATTACAAATACTGCTAATTCCTTGAAGGATTATAGCAGGAAGAACAAGAATCATGACAAAACAGCGATTAAACAAACTACAGATACACACACACACACACACACACACATATATATATATATATATATATATATATATATACATATATATATATATATATATATATATATATACATATATATATATATATATATATATATATATATATATATATATATATATATATATATATATATATATATATAGGCAGGCATGGTGGTTGAGTGGCCGTAGCGTTGCATATAGTCTAGTAGATCCTCCGTGAGCGGTCACAACGTGGTTTATTTCGACGTTTCGGCCTAGAGTCTGGCCTTCATCAGGAATGATGAAGGCCAGACTCTAGGCCGAAACGTCGAAATAAACCACGTTGTGACCGCTCACGGAGGATCTACTAAACTATATATATATATATATATATATATATATATATATATATATATCACGAGTGTTAGCGCAAAATACAACTACAAAAGGTATCAAAAGGTATGTACATCGTATCACATTCAGAATGTGCCCACTAGTTACAAATAATTCTTCTTTAGAACTTGAAACAAACGCCTCAAGATAGCGTGCGCAGACGCGTTTAAACAGTATAATACATAGACGTATAATTACGCAAGGTGTCAGAGTAAAAAGCGCACATCGATAGCAGTAATCCCAAGGGGTCCAGCAATTTTTCGTCTTACGTTACGATTGCGCTCCTTTGACCGGTTGTTTCGATGGCGCCCCGTCTGTCTTATAATATTCTGTCGCATATATACTTTTCTAAACCACTCCTTTAGTGTGGCGGATAGAACACGCGCGAAAGAGTCGTGGTAATGCTGTTAAAAACAGTGGACATAGGGTGGAGGAGAGGAAGAGAAATATGAGGGATGGCGCGTGGCACGTGGGGGTTCTTGGATCTACGCGGCAATAAACGGACGTCGAGATGCTCTGCTCTTCATATCCATACGTATTAGTTCTTTGAAGCCGGTTTTTCACGAACGAAGTCTTCGGATTTTACAAATGCCCTACATTCCCTGAATTGCGCATCGTGTAGAGAAAATTGAAAAAAAAATATCTGATGTCAGAGTGGTAATTTCCGTATACCGCAAAAACTGGTGAAAGCTTGTGGGTTGGTCAACCCGGGTGATAAACAAAATCGAGGCTGTGAAACAAGACAAGAAAAAGATTGTTGACTATGCTGAAGGAGTGACAGCTAACACATATGGCAAGAAAGAAATATGTATTAATCGCAACTCAATGACATAATCCTTTTTTAATACTAAATTTAGAGTCAAGTAAAATATAATCCGAGTTAACGATGTATTTTGTTTCTCGTATACATGTTTCGGATTTGTTCTGTATGGTATGCTAATGTGTAGGGTCATTGTGTGTGTTAAGTTGCCACACTGCGTTATGCGTTTTATAGGGACAGGATCGCGGGCCGCTCCCACGTATGGACGGGGAGGCCCAGCCTCACCGCCGCATCGTGGGCCTTTTGGACAGCCTTGAGTTGTTGTATGAGAACCGGACTCATGGGAATTAAATTAAAGGAGTTTTCGGAAAATTTTTCACTTTTTTTTTGTAAAGAGGGGCACCTCTAGCATGCTTGATATCAAAAAGGTGAAAAGTACGTGTTTGAAAAAACCTCGTGATGTTTAACCTACCGTTGGTAACTTCATCTTTAACCTTTTCTTCCTCGGTTTCAGCGTCTAGAAGTATCTGCAGGATATCCTTCTTTCCATCCTGAAGAAAATTAAAAGTGAAATAAAAGAGTGTAACAAAGTTAATATATGTCTCAGTTCTAAAAAGAGTCCCTTCAACATATACGCCATTTAGGTCACTTCTTTATTTAATATCAACACCGCGTACAGAATACTAGGACGGTGCCTTTGGCGACAACTCGCAAGAAAAAAAAAAGAAAATCAAAATGCAATACCATTTGCTGAATCTAACTCTACATATTTGTAGAAACAGAGACAGGCAGACATCGATGCTGGAAGTCCACCAATTATACATTTTTGCAGCTCTTTTGTCGGACGAGAACAGAAACATATACAGCCATTTCATGCTTTTCGTGTCCCCATCGTGTTCTCCTATTTGGATTTTTGTGGCATGTGCTAGCGCGATTGGCGTTCAATCTAAGGTACTTGGAATAAAACCATAACGGTCGGGCTGTATGCACTTTGGTACCCATATACATGCACTGTCAATGTGACAACTCGACGGCATACAGCCTTGCCCGGACTATTGACATAGCGTAAATGGTTCAAAAATTCGTCCTGTGAAAAAAAAAATGAAAGAAGTGTAGAAGTAGATGCGCTGCTCACGGGCAGTGGGTTCTTGCGCCTGATGTCGACGGCCTGGTAGGCAAGCTTCGCAAAGCGATCGTAAGTGAAGCTGCCAACCTTGCTGTTCAGCCAAAGCAATGGAGCCATCACGCTTTGCAACGTCGTCGTACACTCTGCGAGACAGAAAAGGTTCGTAAGAATAGTAAACTATAGCTTATTCCGGGTATATAGAGATTCATGCAACTTTCTACATATTCCACACTCAACCAAATAGCCTTGATATGTCGCTACTCTACAAATATTTCTATAGCACAACTCCACAAGGCCACCATAGTTCCTACTAGAACTTAATTTGGGCGAATTGGTAAGAACACATTTGAGCAGGTAGCGCAAAGTACGAAGAAACGGGCACTCGTCTAATCTCTTTGTCTCTTGCTTGTGCCTTCGTATTTTGCGCTACTTGCCCAAGAATGCACCACAGTGCCGTTCTAACACAACTAACGCTGCTCTAGCATCACTCCAGCTCAGCACCAACACCTAATATTTATACATGCCGGGTCTTTGCCGCGAAGCCATCGAATAAATGCGGCGTAATAGGGATTCTCGAATCCCCTGATTGGGTGTTTTCACCGCATGGTGCCTGCACGTCCTCTGAGCTAGTTTTCCCGCGAGACTTGGGCCCACGCGAGATGGCGTCAGTGTTCCCACTGTGGTGCCACCTGACGGCGAGGATACATGGAGTCCATAAGGAACGACGCTATTTTCTCTTGGCCCTGGGTGCTCGTCGAGCGGGTTGTGGAACTGCTCTTGGACGATCTCACGGAGTACTTCCGGTTACCCCGAATGCGCTTCCGTTTGCTAGACATGACATGAAAACGGCATGCGCCTGGGCTTCTGGCACGGCTAACTTTCTACTTGATGATCATAACACACCAATATAAAAAAAACATGCAATTAAATTACACGTCATTGGTAATCTCAGCTTCGTTTTAAATTATCACCAAGTGGTCTGGCACGTAATCATTGGATGATACAACAAACAACAAAAATAGTTAGTATATGAATGGGAAAACGATAGAAGTCAGTCCCGTTGGAGCAGCATGCATTCGTTGATTTCTAAAGGACAATTTCTGAGAATTTCGGGTAAGGAAAGTCAGATTTACGCAGCAGTTTTTCAAGAAAGAACAAGCAAAAAAAAACGAACAATATGGAAGCCTACAAAACGATAAGTATGTAGCAGGAGAGAAACCTTTGCGAGGTCTCTCTCAAACACTCTCATAAATCAATACAATTCTGCGTCTGCTCGTACAAGAATATAGTATCCGAGAAGTACCTGTATTGAATGAACTTGAATGGTGTCGTGACGTCATTGTAATGAGGGAGCGTATTTGGGCAGTATATTTACAAAAATTATTTTTTCTCTATAGCAAACTGGCACTGTTAGGCTGTCATCAGCATGTGGCACCATAACCGGGACCTGCGTATGGCATTTCTGCAAATGGAAGTCGTCGATTCATAGACTTTGTCCAACAGAACTTATTTAGTCCATCGTGCGCACTGAGCATATCCTACATTAGGTCTCCCTGCCAAGACGAAAAAAAAAACGTTGAGACTCACGGGCAATCATGTGCATGGGGCCGGTGATGGTTCCTGGAAGCACCTGAACGGCCATACGGAAGAGTGGGTGATGTGTGGCCTCCTGAAAGTTGTTTGCGATACCGAAGCTGCCACGGGAAATGTACTCCATGGCGAGTGGTTTGAACAGCTCGTAGGCGGCGACCTCTTTCTCACCACCATCACCCGCTTTGACCAGCAGATCCAGGAGCCGGTCGCTCGCGTCGTCCAGGTGCGGAAATACCTGCAGTAAACAACAAAAAACAAACAAAAAATGCTTTATCCCTCCTTCATAGAAATCCGTGAACGACAAAAGTAAAACGCGCCCTTACAGCAGTTTAATGTTTACTGTACATTGATGTAAGAGAGCCTACGCAATGTCTATTGTTGTTCGACAGCTATAACACCGCTTAACGTGGATGCGTCCACGTTAACGCTTAGTTATATCTCCATCTCAAAACAAAACCTTGTGGTCACAAGTGAGTTCGGAACTAGAGAGAGCGGTGTGACAGCCAGAATAACGCGACGTAGTGCGCGACGCTGAACTTGCGCTATAAGGTCGCGGCATGTTGGAGCTTTTGAACGCCACGGCCAAACCGGAGGGGAATGCAGTGCGCATTGTGTCTTGTCTGTTGGCCGGCCGCGATTTTTTCGCGGGGCGAGTGTCAGCGACGAACGGTTATAGTACGTCCAGACTATATCTATAAAATAGTCCAGACGAAGCAGGTGCATTGCTCTATGTGTTGCAGAACAATTTTTTTCCTTTTAAAGACGATAGTCTTTCTTGGGGACCTTCGACACAAAAATTTTGGTCTGTCTGTCTACCTGTACATTAGTCTGTTTGTCCACTCTTACCGGCTTCGGGTACTTCAAACGGCCTAACCCATCCTCAGCGAGCACCAATGTTGCTCAAGGTTGAACGTTCATGCTTGTGCAGTTGTCGATTAGAAAGCAATTATTGCGCATGTCTGGGGCACCATAACAACATGCATATATTCTGCATATGCATCTCTTACTAGAAAACGCATACATAAGTAATTTTAAGGACCGCAGCGCTTATCACGCTGCGCTTACCATGCAACGCTTGCACGGAACGGGCAGTGTTTCCAACGCTTTGTTAAGACGAGATAGTGGTGGCACCTACCCGTCACCACGCGTTCTACAGCTTATAACCTCTGAGACGGGCGCGCACAGTCATGCGCTTTGTTTTCCAAAAGAAACTGCCAGATGGCGCTCATGTCTCACATGTGACGTAAGACGATATCGTCTTATTTGCGGACAGTCGAGATGATATACAGCAGCTGGCGAATATATGCGGAAGGGAAGGTGAAGCTCTTGGACTAGGATTCAGTGTAACGAAGTGTGGATTGATGGTATTCAATGATCCCTGTGATCAGACGGTGTCCATACAAGGCCAAGAAATACCGAGGGTAAGTGAATACAAGTACCTTGGAGTATGGGTAAATGAGAGTGATAGATACATGGAGGTACAGGAAAAAACCGGCTTTGAGTAACTACCGAAAGGGCAAAAATGAAATAAGGAGGGAGGCATTTTACGATAATTCAAGGGGAAGCGCTTTACTGTTTGAGGCGAGATCGGGTTGCCTTAGAACGCGTAGTTATAAAGCAAGATTCAGTAAAGAAGAAGAACAATGCACATGCTGCGGAAAAGATAAGGAAACGGCGGAGCATGTTCTGATTGAATGTGGAGATATCCACCCAGGTGTACGTTTGGGCACGAGCCTACAGGAAGCCTTGGGTTTTAGGGACAACAATGGAAAGCTGAACACACCCGCGATTAAAATAAGTAAGAGACGGTTAGAGTATTGGTGGCAGAAAATTAGAGAGAAAGGACAAAAATAAATATTGGAAAAATAAAATATGGACAGTGTGCCGTAAATGGCAGAGAACTTAAGCTGAAAATTTACCTTTTTTCCATTAAGATAGAATTTATCGAAGTAGAGGCATTAGGCCAACATAAAAAAAAGAAAAAAGGTTTTTTTTTTGTCGAGCCTGGTGGCATACTTGTCACCACCCCGTTATAAAGGGGACGCTCATAGCATCCATCCATCCATCCATCGACGTGACTTGATGCGCTCGTTCGCCTCCGCTGCACGCTCGAAGCACTCCAACGCAGTGCCTCCGGCATACCATTCCCCAATTTTCTTGCGCAGAACATCTAATGAATGTTTTGTTCACTCTCTGTTTTGACTCTCTCCACACGCAACACTATCGTCTTTCGACGACATTTGCAGATGACATGCAGATACGGGGCCATTTTTTTTTTTGTATGGATGAATGCTATGAGTGACACTGACGCTTGGAGTATATTTATATGATCACTGCCTGGGGGCGGGGTTTGGCGTTGACAAAATTGCGCATGCGCGCTGAGGAAGATAGACGCCTATATAAAAACGACGCGTTGAAGAAGGAAATAATCGTGTATGTAACGATCATGATGCTTCACTGAACTTTACGAAGAACGCTGAGAGGACTGTGGTAGATATAAAAAGGCGCATTTTTTAATAGTTCAAACTATGTGACTATGGCAGAGAGGGTAGCGTGCCCGGCATCTGCCGCCACGGACCCAGAGGTCTCAGGTTCGACTCCCCTTGGCGGAACCTTGTCTTCTGATCGTGCGTATTCTTTGACGTCACTTCCGTGAAGGAAATGCGTCAATGAAGTCTCGGTGGGCTCCGGCATAAAACACTTTCGTGTTAAAATGAGCCTCGAGTTCTTGCCAACATACACGAACTTTGCATATAACGGTGAAATGTGCACGTAGCCATTGTTCTTCCACCGCGCGGGTGTTGTTCACAACGAGTTTTCTGCATTTTCACGAGGCATCTTTTGTGGGTTCGATGAATTCTACATGTCGAGAGAGTTGAGGTCCATTCAATGCAGTTTCGTGCTAATGCCCCACAACGACGCAACATGCCGCGCAAGGTCTACACCACATCTATCACAAATAGAAAGAATGTTGCTATGTTGCCGAACACGGAACCTGTGCCTTGCGAGTTATGCTAGGAAATTGCGAGTTAAAAACGCAATAAATTGTTCGTTGTTTTCGAACATATATAAACAGCGTATTAACATATGTGTTATAAGGCTGTTCATTTCGATACCGAAGGTCGGGGGTTGGATCTCGGCCGCAGTGGTCACGTTTTGATGGGGCCAAAATGCTGGAGGGCCGTATTCTGGGTGATATCCATGCGCATAAAAAATACCCGATAGTCAAAACTTCCGGAGCCCTACTCTGCAGCATTCCTCATAATCATCATGATTTTGGTTAATTAAACCCCGTATCGCGGCACTGTTGGAGCCATCGAGCGCTCTTTTCCTGCCGTTCAGATCTGTTTGCAGGAAAAGGCTGCGCTGTAAAGTTGAGGACGAAAAAACAGGACTGACACAGGGATTTGGCCGTTCACTTAATATAGTTGAAAAGCGATGCGTCGCATGCATTCGGCTTTTTCTTGTTTCATTGTGACTTGTTGACATTCATTGGTATGTTAATCTACGTTCCTGTTACCGTATCTGCCGGATAAGGGTGATTCGTCACTCGATATGTTGACGTTGTAGCGGACTTCCCTAGGAAATAGCGCAGACGAGACTGGACGATAAAGAAAACAATATTATCTGCTTTCGACAAGTGCCGCAGAAGATACATCGTTTTGCATGCGTTATCAACCAACGACGTCCGCCACTAAGCCCAAACGCGTGCAGAACGAAAACAAGGTCGCGTTAAATATCGTGTATAGGAAACGGAATACAAGGTAAAAAAAAAAAACATAATGCGAGTTTGGGATGGATATTCAATATTCCGCATAATGCATACGAAAATATCCAGATACTCACGAATAAAACCTGTCTCCCAAACTACTGCTAATATTTGCGGTTTTAGGTTGGTGTAACGTCATCTTCGCCACACTTACACGAAAATCAATAATTTAGAAAGGGTTAAAAACTGTGCGAAATTGGTATAATCGTTAGCGTAGGGCATTGAGTCTGTGTGGCAGATTTTTCAGGCACACCGCATAGCAATAGGCTGCAAAGTAGTGTTGCACATCCAAGTTATTTTCACCTGTATCCCATATGCATATATTATTAGGAACCTTGCGTATAGTCCAAAGATCAAGTATTGTTTATAACGTCGGTTTAATGTATGCTAATGCAACTGTAATAGTTTTATATTTGGTTAATTGTACTGTGCGCTGGACAAAGAGGTGATTATTTTGGTGCGTGTTTTTTTTTCTACATCGAGTTTTACTATCATCTGAATACTTAATCGTCTAACTCTGTACAGAGTACATGTGGTTGACGTAGTTAAGCTGTAAGCATATCCCGCTCTCTGACCGCTTGTACTCAAATTTGTCGGCACAATAGTCCAAGGAACTGCTAAATCGAATTCGGGAGATGTATGACTGAAAAAAAAAAAGCGCCAAGTCAGGTTTCAGGTAAGATTGTGCTGGGCTTTCGGCACCAAATGATCTCGTTGAGGGTCGGAAAACGGGTCAATGAGGCTGATACTCTCAACGAGCTTCAGCGCAAATGCCTTGAGTCGGCCGACGTACCTGTCTGAACTTGGCAGCGGTGAAGGCATGCGACGTGACGCTCCTGGTGCGCTTCCACTGCAAGTCGCGGGCGTGCAGCAGACCTTGTTTCAGGAGCGGATGCTGCTGGTCGGTGCGCATTGTGGTCTGCGCATATAATTACATCGCTGCATGACACGGGTTTTCAGCAAAACTTATGGCAGAAGCAATAACAACAGTGCTGTCGAGAAGGTAGAACAAAAATCGTTTAGAATAAGCTAAGCGGACTTGGCACAGCGCACGCTAATATACACGTGAAACGAGAGCTTGGTAAACTGTGACAACTACATACACACGCGCGCGCGCACACAGGTACTACAGTTGAACCCAGTTATAACATTACTGATGTGCCACTGAAGTTTCATTGTTACAGCCAATGATTTCCATAAACGGGTTGCACGACGAAAAGCAAAATATGGTGGCAGGCTGTTGCAAGAAAACTATAATATCGCATTGGATATGCCAACAGGCATTGGCGATACGAATAACAAGGCTGCCAATTTTTCGGACATGCTCGAAAATGTCATGCTTTCATGCGACCGCCACAAGCTGTGTAGAACCAATGTAATGCAACATCTAGAATTCTGGATGCTGAAATTATTCGAAGTCTCAGCTTCGACAGTTAGCTTTTTTACAGTACTTATTCGCTGTGCGGTGAAGTATATTGCACGACGAAGGGACGCGGTGGCAAGTTCGGATTGTGGATGCCTTTTTCAGTAGCTGGAATTTATAATTTTCGTCTTTGAAGGATTTTGTGACTCGCTACGTTTTGTAATGGACACTAATTAGCCATAATTTTTCTTCATAACCAACAATGTGGCCTGCGGGGATTGTCGTAAGTGTGTTTGTTTGATTGATTGATTGATTGATTGATTGATTGATATGTAGGGTTTAACGTCCCAAAACCACCACATGATTATGAGAGACGCCGTAGTGGAGGGCTCCAGAAATTTCGACCACCTGGGGTTCTTTAACATGCACCTAAATCTGAGCACACGGGCCTACAACATTTTCGTCTCCATCGGAAATGCAGCCACCGCAGCCGGGATTCGATACCATGACCTTCGGGTCAGCAGCCCAGTACCTTATTCACTAGACCACCGCGGTAGGGCCAGTGGGTTTGTTTCACCATAGGAAATATATAAAGCTTGACGGTACAGCAGCTTCCGATTGTTATAACCGAGATATCGTTAAAACCGAGATACTATTCAAACCGACATCGTTATAGGTGGGTGCGGCTTATTAAACAAAAAATTGAAGCTGGCACTAAGTCACACAAGCCCTGAAACAGCAAAACTAGACGATTCTCAAAACTAACCTGGTTGCTTTTATGCTGTTTCTAGGTAAAGGACGAGGCTAGGTTGTTTCTACGTTGATTCTTAGCGCATAGAAGGTCGAGTTTCTGGTGGCGCATAGCCGTTTAAGACGATGATAGTTTTTGTTTTGTTTTGCGACCAGTCGCACAGTGGTACGTACATATGCGATAGGCCACACGTATACTATACGACTAACCTGAGCAGCTTACGTTCACCAATTCGCACAAGGCCAGGTACCACTTAGCTGGTGATTATCGAATAGCCCCTCGCTCATCTAAGCTTTTACCCTCTCACTTCTATTCCCACGCTCAGTACTATACCGTATTATACTATTCATGTGTATGCTTTCTTTGTGTGTTTCTATCTTGATCTCGGTTTCTTTCCTTCCTTTCTATTTACTTCTTTCTCTCGCTCACCAGAGTTATTGCGTCCGACACCAGGACCATTCAGCGGTGCGTTCTGTGAGTGAAGATGAAGAGGATGAAGAGAGCATGCGCCAATTCATGACGATGATGATTCTCTTTCTACGACAAGTGGCAAACATCACCGCAATATGCAGTGATGCCCTGCTCCCATCAATGTATTCAAAGCAAACTGTCGCTTTTTTAATGCTACTTTTAACTGAGCTTGCACAGAACTGTCGTCTTCGCGTGACAACGAAGACGCGTCACGGTGACATGTTGAAGGAACCCGAACGCGCTACTTTTCCAAGCGTGATGCGGTCCGAAAATGACCTGTCCCGGATGAAGCTCCGAAGATGCATTGTTCCTCGAGTCTTCCCTGTATTTTAGACGGGATTTACAACTTGCGATCAAATTGCGGTGGGCTTGCATTTTAGGGGCGAAGCTTCTTATAACGGCAACCGTTCGTCCCTCGTAGCCGTAGTAGTAGTGTGTAACAAGTATAACATTTTGACGGGGGTGCCAGTGAGAGATTTCTTCTCTGCGTTGTTGGACAATAAAAGATAGTGCTCAATGTACATGCCAATGGCTGCTAATGGGGAATGAGAGACAGGAGAATTCAGCTTTTTGTTAACGCGCACGCTGCGACTTTTTTATTGTTCAACAACGCACAGAAGACAAGAAATGGTTGCTACGTTATACTCGCTGGGCATAACCTCCTAGGTTTTAGAGAGGTTTAGCGAGCGTTGGGCCGCAGTGCCATGAATACAGTGAACTAGTATAAACCAGGAACTTGAGGTGGTGAAAGGTGGGAAGTAGACACGAAGCGCAAGCCGTAAGAAAGTGTGCGTGTGCCTCCTCTCGTTCAGTCCTTGGAATGTCCGCTGGATGGCGGTGCTTCTATATGAGCAATATATGATGAAAAGATGCGAGATGGAGGTACTAGGAGTGTTGAATAGGTGGACGAACGGACAAACAGACAGATGCATGGACGAACGCACGGATGGCTGCTCGAACGTATGGACGCATGGACGGACGCAGGAGCAGATGCATAAACGAAAGCAGGGACGGACGCACAGATGAATGTGTGGACGCGCGAACAGACGCACGCACGGACGGGCGGATGGACGCACGGGCGGCCACACAGACGCACGCGTAGATGGACGGAAGCAAGAACGAATGGACGGACGGATGCTTCGCCCCACTCTCCATCATTCGCACCGTGAATATGCTGCCATTTTTTAGATGCGGAGCATCTTATACTCGCGCCTTGTAGTGCGCCGTCCGCACCGCTTCTCGAACATTCGACAGCTGACGCGCGCGCATGCGCCGTCGCGCCGTCGCCCACTCTTCCACCATCTGTGCATCCCTTCCTCCTCTACACACCGCGCGCGCTTCACTCCTCCACCATCTGTGCACCCTTCCTCCTCTACACACCGCGTTCGACATCTACAATTCTCCTGATTCTCCAGTGGACGCGCATGTGGCGTCGCGCTTCGAGAACATTCAACAGCTGACAGTGCATGCGCCGTCGTGCTGTATATATACTCAAGGTCGGCGCTCGCTCGCTCAGTTGCCGCTCGTCGGTTGGTTTGTACGGCGCGTCGACGTCCAAGGTCGCGGTGAAATGAATTCCAACGAATCCACAAACACAATGATCGACGTCCCTTCGACCAGCGCCGCCCTTTCGCATACGTGTGTACGTGTTCACTCATTTAACACCCCCTCCTACAACCACGTTAACCAATTTAGCCATCGACCCAAGTAAGTCGCAATTTAACACCCCATTTCACAACCACGTTAACCAATTTAGCCATCGACCCAAGTAAGTCGCACTTTAACACCCCGTTAACCAATTATATGGTCCGCATCCTCCTCAGTGTTCCCCCGAGGGAAGCTGCTGGCAATTTTTTTTTGTACCTCTATCTTCAGATCTACAGTTATCCTCTATGTCTTGTCGAGAAGACGGGGGCTGTACAGGAAAGGTTTACCTATAGTGTATGAATAGTTTTTCTTAACGCGCCATGTGCACGGTTAAGCAAACGTGCACTATAACCTCTTGCACGAGTGCATACGCTTGAGCATTCTACATATAGTAAAAAATAGAGACATTGTATTGTCAACAGTAGAAGCGAACATACTTCGCTTACCCCTCGGTTCATAAAGTTGCCGAAGTCTTTCACCAGCACGTAGGACAAGAAATCAAGATCTTTGACGACAAGCGTCGGCACATCTCCATTGTAAAACCTGCAAAGGGAACGGAAATGTAGTACGTTCAGCTTGTCATTGAACCGAATTCGAATCGGGTTAATTTGATGAACACCGAAGGATCGCTACAAGCGGTGAGACGGATTGATAACTGAGGGGCGGCGCGGTATACGTGGCACAGAATAAAAGGCGGTATTGGCAACCCTGCAGTCATACATGAACTCACCCAATTTTTTCGTGTTACTGAAGACGGGTCAAACGTAATTGTAGTTATAGGGACGTTATAGACAGGGACAAATGAATATACAGACTGCACAGAAGATGCACTGGTACAATACTACGAGAATTGCCCCACTTGCCATTACATATGTACTAACCATTTCCACGCTTAGTGAAAAAAAAAAAAATGAAGGGGTGTTGCAGAAAGGAATGCACCTTTGTATTTTCGTACGTAGGTTTTTTCCTCGTTCTATCAGATTTGTGCATAGCTTGATTTTATTCTGCGATGACACGACAGATCCTCATCCTCCCCAACAGGGTTCTTACCCCGTGCTTTTGTTTAAGAGTCAGTAGTCACCACTTGCAGGTCGCGTGAATGCGATATGGGTACCAATCCAGATACAGAAGTTTCATTATTTCACCTATTTCTCTCTCTCTCTCTCTCTCTTTCGCACGCACACGCACGCGCACACGCACGCAAGTACGCACACATTGCTAAATGTAGGTTGTATTAGAAAATGGAAGGAAATACAAGTCATTGTTGAGTGTCACTATAAAAGTTGTGTATAGTATTCGAGTGGTGTGATACAGTCGGCACTCTTAAAAGTTAATAAGTAATATAGAGATTAATGGATTTATACGTACAACCTTTGTAAAAAACAAACAAACAGAAAAACAGGAATAAAACAATCGGAAGCATGCAAATTTAATGAGACAGTGAGAGAAGCAACATGTCAAAATTCATCTTGTGTGGATGTTTCGGAAGAAACCAACTGTTTTATATTCCAGATTATTTTCTTAATAAAATAAATATAGAAGTTCCCTAGCGTGGTCATTATCCATTGTATTGCTCAACTATGTATGCTTGTTAGGTAAGTTAATATAGATCATCATCATCATCATCATCATCATCATCATCATCATCATCATCATCATCATCATCATCCTGACTACGCCCACTGCAGGGCGTATAACTCTTCCTCGTTTCGCCAATCAACCGGGTCTTGTGCTTCCTGCTGCCACGCTATACCTGCAAACGTTTTTAACTTATCGGCTTCAAATTTTATCGGATGGTATGATGTTTGAAACCTTGAAACGAGAGGAGAGGACGAGGAAGTTGGTTTTGGGACGAGGACTTTATGCGACTTCAATGAAGAATCTTTGCAGGCTATTTATAAGTATTTCTAGAGGGTACAAGTTAGCCTGACAAGAGTAATGGATGGAATAAAACTGAATTCCATCGGACGGTCGAGCACGTGAGAGAGCCGGTGCATGGGATACCGCAGCTGGCGCTGTACGGGCACCCCAACGTTAGCCATAATATTATCAACGTGGTCACTGCAGGCACGGAATTCGTTGTGTTTTCTGATGCGAAATAGTTAGCGCAGTCGCACCAGCGAATCTCTGGCGCTATTGAGCAAGAATTTCAAAAGAATAAACCGAAACCTTTCAAGTGCTGTGCTGAAGGCGTCGTATGTGAAAGTAGCCTCAGTTGTGGGAAGTCTTTATTAGACAAATAGCACGGTGTATTAACGCCCGGCTCCAGGAGCATGCCAATGGTATTGGTAGAAGTGGTGGTGCGCATTTTCCGCCGAGTCATAAATCATGTCCGTGGGCACCGCGTCTCGCGCAAGTTTAAATTGTTGGCAAAACCAGAAACCTAACGCTGAGGAAAGTAACAAAAGCGTATCATAATAAGAAGGAAAGGGTCCGCCTGTGTCAGTGACACATCCATATTGTGCTACACCGACCTGAATTGTGATTTTTTTCTTCAATGCAGAACTTCCGCGATGAAAAGTCTGACGTCACGCTCCCACGCCACTGCGCATGCTTGAAAGTTGACTTCTTTTCTTACTCTTGTACTAAATCAATAGTTGGTTGTTGGCGTTTCCCTGTGTCAACTCTCTACTTTCTTCCCGCTTGAATCATTGTGCCAGATATAATAACTTTATCAAGCATAACTACTAATAAGTCAGAAACAAGTTCTTTGAAAGCGTCATTAAGATTGTGATGTTAACATGTAAAACTGGAACATTGATAAAGATTTTTTCAATGCTCAGAAAATTTACTCCTGCTCCTCTAAAAAAGTAGCGTCTGAAAGCAGATGGAAAGTAAAAAGCACTGAATATGTAAAAAAAAATCAATACTTAGTATATAAGGCACTGTGTAACGCAGTCATGACTGGCAGAGAAAGAGAGCAAACTTTCATTGGTATACAATCTCAGCTGTATGCACACGCTACTCACCCGAACACATCTCCGTACTTCTCACACCAATCGGCAATGGCATTTGTGATCCCCTGCGGCGAAAGAGGTGGGCTCAGATCCAATGTTAAAGTCTCGCGGCCACACCCGACACTCTTAAGATTGTGGCTTCTGAAACCCCATCGAGATCTATGTATTTCCTTAACTTTGCATCTACCAAAATTAGCATAAATTTTTATAATAGTCAGGACAGTGCAAGTACTACGGAAGAAAACAAGCGGACGCACCCAAGCCTAGTTTTCGTCTACCTACAATGGCGAGAATAGACATCGAAACTTTTGTGAGGCACTCTGAATGGGTTAAACACGAAAAATACACACTGTTTGTTCCCCAAGCAACCACGCATGCCAAGATCACAAGGCAATGTATCGCATAAGTAGTTAAGGTGACGCCAGTGAACGCTACTTAGAATATGTATGCACATGATCAGATTACATCGTAGCGTACACTTCATTTCAACAAAATTGACATCTGTGCTATAACGAGAGTGCATATAATGTTTGGTCAGACCATTTCTTCAGGTGCCAATGTTGTCGACGTGTCTGGAAAGTATACACGATATCTACAAAACTACTCATATCTCACAACGATGTTGAAAGGTCGCCTAATACTTTGCTCAAAGCAAAAATATGGTGCGTACGCAGCTCCTCACTGCCTGATATTATGAAATCGATTCCCACAATAATAGAGATCTGCTGGAAGTTTTTTTTTTTCACCGGTAACTATACATTAGTCATACAGATAAGACAATGACTGTAACAAAGATAGGATAGCCCAAATTAAGAATATCTGGAGATATCGTATAGAAGTTGAGGGATGCAATTAGACTTCTATACACTAGCGTGGAGGCTAAAACGTTTGAGCACAAGACATCTGAATCTATGAGCGTTCCGGAGGCTCGAGCGCTTGCGATAACTAATCCCAACAATGTGGTTTGCAGGCTCGGTGTAATGAGTGATGTCTGCATTACTAAGGGATCAATCACGCATTTACCTTGTGGTGATATTCCCATAAGTTTCCCCAGAAGATGTTGGGAGTCGGTCCAGGAACTCCGAGATCTTTGAAATAGCTGAAGTGTCTTTTTCGCCAACTGCAGCAGAATAAATTGACTAATTGAAACAAGATAGAACTGTCTGCTGTTTGCGTAGCACAGCGGCGAATATTAAACGCCAGAAAATTAAAATAGGATCTACACACAGAAGTCGCCGATTGCGAACAGGTAAAAGTTATCTAATATAATATTCTTACAAATTCATTTATTTACTAATTCATTTATTTCTTTATTCTGCAGAAGCAATGAGCGAGGGGAGACAGAGCAATGAATAGAGGCAACTGGAAAAATATAACGCAGGATTTTCATACAAGTACAACCACGGACGCTATACATAAAATAGCGGCAGTGTTACAAAACAGGTCTAAATCAGTATGCAGCGGAAGAGAATCGAAATCATTAAACAGTATTAAAATGTCTATCTGGTTGTTCATGAAAATGGTTACGGTTAGTGACTGCGAGGACAACTTCGGAAAGCACATGCCAAATCACAAAGGAACGTTGCAGTGAGGATGAATTTAGTTTGCTGTTCAGGTTTTTGCGTAGATTTCGTATGTACTCATCGGGGCTTAAACTGATTAGCAACGAGACGATACAATATGAACGCATCTACGCAGTAGACATCAAAATGACATTAACATAATGATTATAATGTTAATAAGTGAAGCATTATACAATTAATAATATAAAGGGTGTTCTTCAGGGGGTTGCTATTAAGGTAAAACGGTTTTATTACACATGAAGGTTTTTGTCTTTCTTAATTTGTACTGTTTTAACTGGGGTACTCTGCCTAAAGATTCAATTATTCGTTTATAGTTTCTTTTTTTTCAAACACACCCACTTCTGTAGTTTCGTAGCAGAATTTCTAAGTGTGTGTACGTATGTAGTATATTTGCGTAGCATATATAGCAAGGTGTGTAATGTTTAATTCTGGAAGCTGTGGGTTAGTGTTTACTGACGACAGGCGCAAACACTATACCGCTTCACGACACGGCACCCTAGACACGACTTACTTATGCCATTTTGTTCTCTGTTGGCAAGAAAGAGACCACGAACATTGAGAGTACGGCAAGCGAAACATTCTTATTACCTAAAGGTCCCTCAAGTCACTTCTGGTTGAAATATTTCCCCAGGAATGACCACTTTGGAGAAAACAGCAATCAGTCACGGTCGCTGGATAAAAGAACAAGTTTTTTTTTTTATCCAGCAGCTATGACTGTGCTTAACGAGAAGCACGTCATTCAACGGTCAAACAGGCCAGCTATCTATATCTACCAATTGCCGCTGCCTACGGGCATCTCGGGTAGGGGGGGACTGATGTTTTCAGCATTACCAGCAAGATGGCGAAATGAGCTCGCGTAGCAACATCATCGCGACGCGGCGGGGCGCGCTTTCATCTCCCACACGCACTTTGCCTCGCGAAAAGCGGGGAATTGACGCTCACTTGCACGTCCTTATCTCGTGGTGGGGAGGAGCGTACGTTTTGGCTGGCCTTTGGCTTTTACCGGAACGATTTTGTTTTAGTTACCGGGCGCTGAAAGGTCACTGCCATCGTTGCACAGTATCCGTTTGCGAAAAGAGCACGCTTTTCAGACACAGCGAAGTAACAACTGAAACGCTTATTCACGTTCATGAGCACCTGAGAGTACGTTTCATGCGTCATTCGTGCGTGGGAAACGCGGGGCACGTTTCAATCAGCTGGCCATTATGCGCACGACCTTCCAATTTGTTGCTATTGCGTTCATTGCTTCGCCTTTGCGGCAAAGCTGTGACTTTGTTTGAAAGCATACCTAAATATGAGCATACATATATTGGGAATTCCGCTTCCAGTTAAAATGTCACACGGCAATTCCGTTTTATTACTGCCGTATCATTCCATTATATGTTTTCAGGGCACCTTTTAGAGGGGCCCTGCTACACTTCCCCAAGAAGCCATAGAATAAATTCGCCAAAAGAACTTATTGCCTCAGAAATTTACCGCCGCGCTGAAATCGCATACTCTCTTTTCTCGTCCCGATGAAGCTGGAAGCTTTATTTTTATTTAAATAGAAAATAAACGTAGGAGTTCTGGTCACCGTTACTTGGCGACCGCTGAAGCTGAACAGGGAGGGATGGCACGGGAAAAGAAAATACGTCACGCGCGCCCCGTGACCTTGAGCACTTTTTCTTCGTGTTTTTCGAATACGTGGAGTGGGATCACGCGCACGCGTGAAGAAGTCGCGGCCTCCCACGGCGACCGTTTTAACGACCGATTGCGTCATGCTCAAATCAGCCAACAGCTTATACAATAACTGGGACGAACAATTTTTGAGCTTTTATTGTAATTTGTTGGAGTTTATAACAAGCGATTTTCAGCTGACATTGAGAATTAATAGTGAATTACAACCCACGCGCTGCACTGTAATATTTCACTCGCGTGTTCTCGGCAGCCTCGACTATATCGGCAGCGTTTTTTGACTATGTTATAAAAGTGTTGTAGGGCTTCTTAAGTTACGTAAGCGTCAAGTTTTTACTTGATAAAAATATTTCTCTGTAATGGAACCACAAGCGTTTGACATCAAGTAAAGCTTACCGCATAACAAGTGATCCACAGTGCTGCAGTTACACACCTAACAAGAGCACGGCGAAAGTGCATGGTATAGAGCCTGGTTTTGTTACCGCCGAGTCGGTGAAACATTGCGTTCACACACTATTTAATATTCTTCATGTTAGAGAGTGACGCCGAGTACACTTTACGATGTGCTTCACTAAGAAGGCGGAAACCACACTGAAATGACTCTGGTGAACTGAGGGTACGACCGCAATATACAGCACTCTCGAAAGTTAGCTGAACAAACCACCATTCGAGGACGTGCATAATGGAAACGACCAGAAAAGGCAGGCAAATATCACGTCTGCCTTTTCTTTCATTACTCAAGTGGCTGTAGCTATTATATTATTCGTTTCCACGTGCGCAGGATAAACTTTAAGCTGGTTATTTAAGAAGCTGAAATCATAAAGTTTAGAAGAGAACAGGTTTTGGCCAGTTGCGTTTATTGCGCTTCATTTCATCATGAATGAATTAAATTTAGGCTTTGTGGGAAAAGTATATATTCATCACATTTTAAGATTCTGATTTGAGAAATTCGCTGCACTCAGCTCTCAAATTTTCACGCTTATCCCATTTAGTTAACTTGGAACAAAGATAATCGTTAGTATACGAAAACATGGACAATGAGCAAGAAATTGAAAACGTATTCTGATCTTAAGGCGCAGCTAACGCAATAACTTTGTCGACATTATTTGCGCGATTTTGCTCATACCGGGTTTTTCTTCAAGGTCCCGTTCGCATAAGGCGTATATGAGCCTTTCGTTCTCACATGGCAGCCGCAAAGAACAGCCACAGGAGTCCCGGACTGTGGTCCCCCTCCACACAAGCTGACATGATGCGACTATAGCCTCTGGTGTAACAGAGCTCACTACCTCCTCTCTCTCTCTCTCTCTCTCTCTCTCTCTCTCTCTCTCTCTCTCTCTCTCTCTCTCTCTCTCTCTATTATAGCTGTGTGCCCCCTTTTCAGCATCTGTCACAGTGCTTAAGCATTGCCAAGTGTCTACTAGCTGCTACCCTGGTTATCGAAAAAAAACGTGCCCCATTGACATTGACTCGCGGTGAAATGTAGCACACCTTAGGTTGATGAACTGTAGGAGTTTGCGGTGATAAAACGGGAGCAAAGAGCATGCGAGATAAGCAACGTTTACCATCATTCACGCACGTGGAAACACTTGAGTCTTTCTACATAACAATGAAACCATTGACTCGTTCAAAACTTGACAGCCTGCTTTGTTGACGCACGTGACGTGATTTCTTGCCTATCTCTGCGCAGATACTGTGCTTTTGTTGGACTTCTGCTCAATGCTTCTGTATAGTATATCGCATTTCCTAGTGATAAACCACTGGTTGTTAGTTCAGCACCCTGTCTGTTGTTCTATCACCGTCACGTGTCTACAGGAGTGTTTTTTTTTCTTCTTTGTCTTAATTGATGAGCCGTGTGCCTGCAGATTTAGTTGCACGTTAAAGAACACCAAGTGGTGGAAATTTCTGGGGCCATCCACTGTGGCACCTCATAATCGTATGGTGGGACGCTGAAGCCCAATAATTATTATTTTTCATTTATGAACTGTGAGCGACAGTACCTGTCGTGCGCGATTGGCTGAACATGCAAAACACAACACTAATGCACCCAATACCTGCAGAGCCGATTTTGACGACAATGTGCCGCTCTTCTGACCAGTCGCGTCGAAACAAAACTCGTCTCGAGGCGCAACCCGCTGATAGCGATACTCGCCCGATAGCGTATACAACGCAGTACATGAATGCTGAAATAGCTGCAGACCACGGGGGCCAATAACTGCACTGCAGGTCAACGTTGCGTAGAGTGCGTCAGCAGGTCTGTGGCTCGATTCAGCATGAGTAAGGTCATAATTTCTTTGTGTGTAACGGTAACTCGCTGACTATGAAGATATGCTGCCGAGCACGCATTGATTCACCTTTGTCTCCTCAAATGGCTTCTGAACCACAGCGAGTTCAAAGGTGAAAGAGAGAAATAAGCGTTTCTTTAGAAACAGTGTTCCGAGCGAGACCCGGTGTCACCCTGAGTTGAGAGGGTTCTGCAGTCAAGGAACCCTCTGGCTTCGACTGCCCTCTTGGCCCTGTTGACGGGTTGTCGCTGGTCTTGCAGGTCCTCGAGGACGAGCTTGGCTTCCCACGTTTCTATTAGGTGGTCGTCATTTTTTTTTTTTGAGCTTGGTCCAGCTCCTGCTGCATGTCGTGGTTTGCATGGCATTGACATTCCAGGAGCAAGTGAGCCAGGGTGTCCTTTACGCTGCAGAGCCGGCACATGTAGCCATGTGTCGTCGGGTATAGAGGTGGTGCATTATATATGCCATGTATGTAAGTGTTGCTTTGTAGGCGTCTGAAAATACCGCTCTCTTCTTT